GCAGGAACATCAGCTTTTTAAGCCTGTCCTGCATGCCCTGGGGCGAATAGGAGAATTGCTCCATCTTCATTGAGGATCAGTCGTAAATACTCAGGCGAAGATGACTGCGAGTGCTATCAAATGCAGCGGGGCTACCGTAGCTATTTGCTTACATGAATCTAAGCTAAGGTCACACACCTTAATTTCTACACTGGAACCAGTTCGAGTGTAGCGGATCGCAGCTTCAGTACCTACTTCTGGGTACTGAAGCCTTAACCAAGGCGAATGAACACTTCTGTTCAACATTGAAAGTGTATTAAATTGTTTATATGCGGTAGAGCCGCCTGTATCTAAAACCTTGCTTTTTTAAATAAATAGTAAATCCTAAATAATGTGCATAACTACTGGCAGTCCCGCCATGTAGTGGCTTCTTTTATCGATGTAGCCGCGCCGTTGTGTGATTACACCGACTTGTGTAATCCACACCTTTGCACGGTCACACCATCTAGTGTGACCGACCCTTTCATCCAAAGGTACGTGTAACCCCGTTACACAAACAGACCTCTCTTACGTTAAAGCCCGACCTCGACGTTATAGTTGCAGAAAACGATAATCATCGTGTCATTCTTTGTGATATGTGGCAAGATTACGAATAGCTCAGATCCTAGCAAGTTTACTCTGAATTATCGTGAGCTTGCGTCAATATTAATAGCTACACGTCATGTACGGTAACATTTATTTCTACCGTTGGAAGCTGGCAAACGCAAAATAGATGACGCGTTCTTGCCCATTGGCAGCTGCTTGAAGTAAGACATAGTCTATGGCAAACGTCAAAGTGCGTGAAAGAGCCGTCGTCATGTCCAGAAAAAAGAAGTCGTGAAGTTTACTTTGACAACCTCGGGTCCCGACTTTACTTCCGCGCCGCTGCATCAATCGAAGAAAAATGATGAAGTCACGCGCCAAATTGAAACAGTTCGCACAATACTTGTACAAGTAGTCGGGCAAACTAAGTATTTTAGCCCTTCTGAGTAGGTGTCATTGTCCAGTCTACAATGATCTTATTTTTTCGATTTGCAAATAGGCATTACCCATGAAGCATCCTGGACAGCGGACTTTGTCCACGTCAACGACTCACCTATTTGTATGGGAGTACAAAATGTTGGGTACACTCAGACACTGTCCCCGTGCTTAACTTAATGTACACATCTGAATAAGTGTGCTTTGACGACTTTACAAAAAACAATGAAAGAGATTTGCACATAAGCACAACATTGCCTTAGCAGCTGCGTCACTAGATGATTGATTGTTGTTAATATGGTAGGCAGTCTAATCATGTAGCCATTACCAAGGCCCACGTGGACTTACCGAACTTTGATCAGCAGTTGATTATACTCATCGGTAGAGTCAAGAGCGTTGAACAAGGTGTGCTCGACCGTATTGTCCACCGGTCCATCCTTTCCAGGAAAAGGTTTATGCATAAAAATACTGTATTTTGGCTTGTTATTTATAATCATGTATACGTCACTTTCCATGAGCCAGTTTAATCCAGAAAGCGGCGCCGAGTATAGTAGTTTACTTACTTTCGCCAATGTTGTCTTGTGCATTGCACGAAAAACGAATCTATGACTTCATACTTTATTTGTTGTACCATTGTAATTGCACGCAGTACTTGGTTCCACAAATTATGTCAACTTCATGATGCACTCTTCAATATAGGGTACAACAGGCGCGATGAGTCTCCTGCCACCGCATCGTGATATTTTATTATCAAAGAATTTGATGGACCCTTCCAGATAGCCGTCACAATCCTCACACTCAGTGCTCGGCAAAAGTTAAATAAAACTTTATCCGTGAGTTATGATGAGCTCGGCTTCTCTTCTCATCCCAGCAGTGATACTTTACTGTCTTTTATTCCCTTGCAATCACCCTGTGAGATGTCGATGGTACTGAGGGAAGTATTTTATCTTCTGGGACTACCCAAGGCATACCATTCAGCTTTTAATTTCGCAACCTCGTAACATTTCATTGTTTCACACAGCGGGCACGTCACATAGTAATACTATCTCAGCGAAACATTAACAAACCCGTAACTTTCACTGCTCCACACAACGGACGCGTCGCATAGTAATACTATCTCAGAAAACATAAACATCAGATAAAGTACGAACATCCTTGATTGAACTGGGGCCTGTCGCGACATACAGTCTGCTTTCTCACTTTGAAGACCATGACAACAACCTTTCTTATTTGTCTCCATTGGATCTGAAACATGATGTCTCGAAGCATATACTAAAATCTTGCGTACTTAAACATTACATACCTGGAACTATTGTATTTCATGACGATTGTACAAAATTTACACTACACTTGCTGAATTTGCTATTTTTCATAAGCACCAATTAGGCTTTTAAACCATGTGCCCTAGGTACACGTGGACTGCTAGCCACACGTCAAAAAGAAAGACGTATCATTATGACGAAGAGCAAGACGTATTTTCTGTCTAGATATATGTTTCTGATGTGTGTACATTTAAAGTAGCATTCTGAACTTACAGTGCTGGTTATCTTTAATGCTCTCGGTTCCATGTTTGAGTAATGCGTTTGGACCTAACCACTGTCTGTTTGAATTCGTGGACTCGAACAGTGAAAGATTTTTTTATGCAAAGTACACGGCGACAGAGTGGAACAGGAGACCCCAGCTTACAGCTGCAACCGAATGCGTCACATGACATTCTTTTAGAGAACCACGACATACCACTCTCATTGCAGTCTCACCAGACAAACACTACGGGGTCGCAATGTACGAGCACTAATTTCGTGTTATCCTATAAAATTGCGGACTACTACCGCTGGTGCCTTCTGAGATCTCAGGTCATGTCGAGCAATTTCATATTCTGTACCAAAGCTGCAGCAGCATGCATGTGACAAGAGCAATACTGGCTTCTAGCATAGGTGCTAAGTTGAATCACAATGGCTGCATTTGACAAGAAAAGCGTGGCACATAACGTTTATGGATTCCAGTCAATCCATGGATCTTGGCGTTTAGCTATGACATACCTGTTGGTAGGATTCAGAAATAAGAAGAGCCAATGTTTATACACTTTAAAGCCCTAAGCCGCCTGTAAAGGCTAAAAAAATCTGTGACTGGCTCTCATGCAGAGAAGGCCAAATGTCATCTTGAGGAAATTTCCAAACCAAGTAGGCCCAAGGCGGTTTTTAAAAACTATTTACTTCGTGAAGGTCAAAGAGCATGATAACTGTTCTTGATTCCAAAATGGCTATCTTTGAGCGAGGTGGGACTCACAGTCTAAGTTCGTTAGCTGTTCAACTCTGCCGTTTAAATCAGCATTTAGGCTTTGTCAAGCCGTTGAAGTTATCGTTAATCAAAGGCGTCGTGTAATTACGTACGTCAAGTGGCTACCAAAAACAATAGACAATTTCCGGAAGCGCTGGGGATTCTAATTACGTATTCGATATCCGCATGATTTAAGCCTTTAAAATTTCTCAACCGAGACAAGGGGGATACGCCGCGCATTGTGTTTAATAAAAACAATTGCAGCACCTGCAACCTCTATGGTGCTGCCCAACAACCGAAGAGAACTTGCTCCCTCCTAAGCTTGGCTGGGATCCATCGTCTTCGTTTTGCTCATAGAGCCTCCACCAACTGCATATCAACAGGCACTTGAGGCATAAAAGCTGTCACCCGCAATTAATACGAATCTCTTCGCCTCCATGAAATAGTTAGGGTAAACGTAAAAGGTTTCTGTGCTCACCACACCTGCACGGAGATCCTCCATGAATATAGTGACTGACTTCGTTTTTCCAAAGAGATCTTCCGTCAAACGGGAAAAAAAGAGTTTACTGAACATAGTCCTCCAAATTTTGCCTCCATTGACGGGTGAACAAGGAATTCAAATGCACACGGTACGCCTGAATAGGCGGTACGAACACCTGCATTATCGGTTGCTTCGTTGCTTTCCAGGTCGAAAAAGCTATTTTGCAGAGCTATTGCAGTTCAAGCCCATTCATGTGCTCGGCCTCCCTGCGTGGAGATCTCGACCGCGTTACGCTGTTGTTCAGTCTGCACTATGGCTAAATTCACGGTCATCTTAACTGTTCTGTTATGACCAGAAAGATTTTTATCCCCATTTAGATATTAGATATTTAGAATAAGCGATGGAAGCCGATCGTGCATTCACCAGCGCTTGGTTGGGGCGATTTTGTAAGGGGTTTAACCAGCGCATTCCTATAGCTTGTGATACGGCTTCACAAATGCAATTTCGGATTCCACTTCTTTACAGTTAGTTGCCATATCATCTCGGGGTTAAGCAACTAGCGTGTCTGTTATCTGTTTAAGGACAGATGAATATACAGCCTATCCTCACAGAAAGCAAGGTTTTTTTAGACCTGGTTATGAACAGACGACAGGTGCTGTCAAACGCAATGAGGTTTCCGTACATCTTGCTCAGCGGGAGGTTTGACTCTACGGGCCTGCGCTCATAAACGTATGGGGATGGATCCGTATAATCCACCCAGAGGTGTCTTAAGCAACTCGCTTCCAAATACACTCTTCAATTTCGAGAGTGAGATTCAATGATGTTTGATTTCACTAATTCTATAATATATACAATCTTTGGAAATCAAGCCCTATGTTTTGCGTAACGTGAGGCTAGCTGCCCTCAGGGCTCTCAGTTGGGGTTCCAACAATCCTCGCCTACACAAAGTCACATCACCCTCAACTTTACCACTTCAAAACTTCGTTCAGCCTTTGAAGTCTCGCGGAAATGCCAACGACGTTAACCCCTGTCCGAGCCGATACATCAATTGTCTTTTCGCATCTTCTCACTTTTGTTGCAAGTCTTCGGATGCTCTTGACATGAAACCAGGAAAAGAATTGGTTCGTACCGTGACCCTGTCAAACCTGATCTACAGGTCGTGAGGAAGCAGCTGTTCTCTGAGCCAACTACAAGTGTATTACTATGTCTTGATAACTCTAAGATAAATTTCAGCGAAGTAAATTAATCCTCATTTGACATTACAGAATCTGTCATTGTGCTATATCTAGAAAAAATCTCGATACGCCAAGTTGCTCTGGTTAAGAACGTTTTTCGTTGCATTAGTCGATTATAATCGTTTGGAACCAAATCATGAGGTTTTTGGAGCCATCTGTGAAGATTAACTCCGGTCGGATGCCTTTTTCTCCCACCTAAAGCAGACTCAATATCACTAGGATACTTCTATAATCTGTGATCTTTGGTGTTTCTACCGGCCTTCAGTGTTCCTGGCATTATTTTGGCGTACGCGTAAGACTTGTGTCACGCCGATGTATTAAAAAGCGAAAATAATTGATATGATACTCGGAATCGATCAGTTTAGTGTCCATATTGTAGTTATGCCTCGGCAATTTCGTCGCTTTAAACCAGCCCTACTGACTAAATTTCTGCATCATTTGTTGCTAGTTCACGCTGTATTTTCTTCTGTTGATTTTAAACAAGTGCAGATAGATTGTCAATACAACAAAGAAACGGACCAAATTGACATCATTAGTGCATTCTGGTATGTGCGTTAAAAGCACGACGACATAAGATATCGTTTGACTTTGCCTTCAAGGCAACTTGCCTTCAAGGCTAACACTACTGAAATCATCAATCAACACCAATTTTGACACATGCTTAGCATGTTGTATGCATGACGATCTTTTAATTCGAGTCATGCACCACGACCCGAAAATAGAGTTGGCACCAATTCGCCTTGGCGATATTTCGGGTAGCACCAATTTAAAAAAAAATGCTGACCACTTCCCACCGCGCTTGCAAGAATAATTGTTGTCTTGCTTTGAAAAAATGTAAATTTACACCAGCGCATTCGCATGCTATAAGCTGTGATAAGAACCCGTGTCCATTTTTTTTCATTTTGTCAATGTTTTGGATTCAATTGCAGTCAGTTGATATTTTTTCAGCAATGATGGTGTTAAAGCATAACGTGTTTGGAATTCACTTCTCTGCACCGATCGAATATACTCGACCACATTCAAAACAGTATTGACATTGCTATCCTCATTGAAAAAAAAGAGCACTGTGTTTGTTGGCAGCGAAAGTCGCAACCCACGTGAAAAAACTAGCCCAATTTTAGCCTCTACATTACTCAGCGCCTCTTCTGTTTCAGTAATCACGTTAATCGCCATAACGCCCCCAGAAATAAGTAGACACTTCATTCTTTCTAAAAAGCTCACATCAAGCATACCAATCGATGGAGCCCACACACCATCACAGCTCTTACCAGCCTCAACATCAAACACTGCAATATCAAATGGAGCAGCCTTCGTATAATTTAAGACAAAATCCTCGCCGGTTGTCTCTTGAATCGAAAGCCGTGAATCGCTCTTTAAAGCTGAGTCAACTCCAAAAAAGCGCCGAGCTATTTCATTCACCGTTCTACACGGTTCAACAGTGACAAGCTGCATAATTTCCTTCGATGAGTGATGCTCTAGTAAAAATAGCGGCAGCGTGCACGCCCCGCCACCAAACACGATAACGCGGATCGATGACTGTATCTTTTCATTTGGCAACCACGCAAATGACAGGCATAGGGCTCTGTGGACATCTAGCGCCAACGAGCTTCGATCAAACTTTTCCTCAGAGTGTGATGGCATCTTGCTCAATGCCACTTCACTCTGTATTAAGTGCGGACGATTGTTATACACAAATTTGCGTGTAGGCTTGATTTCTTCTTCAAAGAAAGTATCTAGAACGGTGACTTCGTTGTCATGGTAGACAATTTGTCTTGAAAACTTGTTAAGTAGCTCGGCTTTGTACTCATTAATGAATTGAGGCTCCACTTCTCGCAAGTCACGCAACAGCTGCTGCAGTTCGTCGTACGTATAATTCTCACCTGAACGGTGAATCTAGAATAGGTTGATGATTAAAAGTCTATCATTAAACATTAGAATAGCATTAAATTTTCTTACGTCGTGCATAATAGTTTGTAATATCACGTCATCGAAGGTATACACTGGAATGTTATCCTGCACATCTTCTTGGTTCACATGAATTCCCTCGCACTGATTTGCCGCAAGCTGCCAATCATACTCCGAAACGAGATGCTCTGGCCACCACGGAAACGTTCGGCACTGGGTTGGCCTCACTGTGCGCAAGATAGGGATGAAATCAGTTAGTATTGCCTAGTAAAGAACAAACAATCGGCTACACCTTTGTAGACGGAACACTTCGATCCTTGTAAAAAGATACACTGGTTGTCATCGGATGTTTGCAATAAAATTGATTGCGTCACATTTTGCCCATTGTTGTTTTTATTCAGTTCAAGCGTATGCTTCCGCTTAAAGTCGTTTACGGTCAAGTTTTTAAAAGCTGCCAGCTCCTTAATCTCTCGATCATTCACGCGCACACGGCCACCCCGACCGGTGCAGCACTTGCCACATTCTGTGCAGCGAAATCGTAGCTTTACTTCCTTTCGACTCGTTGACCAGCTCTGAAATTTACGAACGTGTACTGTAAGGCGGTAACTTAATGGCGCCATTACTAATCTAATTGAATATATATATTCATATTTTCATGTTTGTGATGAGTTCGATGTATTTTATAGTGCGTTCCTCACCAATAAAAAAGTCAAGAAGAAGTATTGTGGTTTTTGCGCGTCAACGAACATGCTTTCACGAGTATTACGATATAAATTCCTGCGCCAGCCCGGCGCTGGACTAGCTACGGTTTCTTATCGAAAAGACCGTGTATCTCTTTGGATGCAGGAAGCGAAGCGACAGCAGGAAGCACAATTGTTGGTCACACAGGATGCATTAGAACGTGCAGAGCCGCTGGAGTTGGCTGTGCAATCTCCGGCGGGACAAACTTTTGTCTTTCGCGGCGTGACTGGCGTATCTACCAGCATTGATGTGCTTAAACATATGAAGGAATTAGATCTACCCAAATTCCAGGCATTGGCTTCAATGATGAAAGACACAGGTGAGGTACTGGACCTGCAAACGCCATTAGAACGCTCAGGGACATTACAATTACTTGAGTACGAATTGATTAATAATTTAGATGGTATGTCAAATTGATTTGAGTATAACTATGAATGTTTGAGGGCAGCTTTTCGAGCGACGAAGGCAAGAGCATTTTTTGGCACTCGTCAGCCCACGTACTGGGTCAGGCGCTAGAGAACAAGTTTGAAGATAAAATTCGACTTACGGATGGTCCGTCACTAAAAGAAGGAGGTTTCTTTTACGAAATGTTTCTACAGGACGGACTCACGGTATCTGAAGCGGACTTTGACGCGCTTCATCGTGGTGTTAAGAATATAGTAAAGGCCAGGCAGCCATTTGAACGGCTTCTGGTGACACGCAAATTTGCAGAACAATTGTTCGAATACTCCGAATTTAAAAGAGACATGATGCAAACGATTCCTGACGGAGAGGCTATCTCACTTTATCGTTGTGGTCCACTTATTGACCTCTGTCGTGGTCCTCACGTTCCTCATACTGGTAAGTAATTTGCATGTCCGCTGCGTGTTGGACTTTTACGAGAAGTAGAGGGCAAAGGGGGCTGTAGAATGTTAACTACTGCTCCCTTAAGCTTCTCATACTCAAATGCTCCTCTTCGTCAGTCCTAAAAAACACCTCTTGTCGATGGAACGACAACCCGCTCTCGCAATGAGTGACGGCGAGCTACACGTTGGCATACATTCAAATTGATCTGTATCTTGGAAAAGAGAATCACTTATGCGAATATTACTCTGCGTATATCTACAGGTATGCTATCATCCTTTGAAATCACGCGATGTGGCGCGTCGCATTGGAAAGGCAAGGAACTGCTGCAGCGCGTTTACGCAATCTCGTTTCCCAACAACGCACAGCTCGTGGAGTGGCGTACTTCACAAGAAGAAGCGAGAAAACGTGATCATCGTCTTATCGGCCATGCGCAGCAACTCTTTATGTTTCATCCACTCAGCCCTGGATCGTCTTTTTTCTTGCCTCATGGGACCCGAGTGTTTAATGCACTTGTTGACTTTATTCGTGGGGAGTATCGCCGTCGTGGATACAGCGAAGTTATTTCGCCATTGATTTTCAAAAAGGAATTGTGGGAGACGTCGGGTCATCTCAAGAATTATCACGATGATATGTTTATGGTCACGCAGGGAATTGCCACTGATTCTAAAACATGTCAAGGGCATGGCCGTGAATTTGAAGAGGAGACCGATCAATTTGGCATGAAACCTATGAATTGTCCAGGGCACTGTCTGATTTTTCGAGAGGCACAGACTTACTCATATCGCGATTTACCCGTGCGTCTAGCTGATTTTTCGGCACTTCACCGAAACGAGGCGTCTGGTGCTCTCACAGGACTCACGCGTGTTCGTCGCTTTCACCAAGACGATGCACATATTTTCTGTACGGCTGCTCAAGTCCAATCAGAGATTTTACAAGCTTTAGACTTTATTAAACACGTGTACGGCATTTTCGATTTCTCATTTAATCTACGCTTTTCAACTCGTCCTGACCATTACATGGGAGAGTTGGAGCTGTGGGATGACGCTGAAGATCAATTGCAAGTGGCTTTAGATAAATTTGGAGAACCTTGGAGCGTCAATGAAGGCGATGGTGCGTTCTACGGTCCCAAGATTGATGTCGTTGTGACGGATGCTTTAAACCGCCAACACCAGTGTGGCACGATCCAGCTGGACTTTCAACTACCGATCAACTTTGAGCTTAAATACGATGGTCCTGACGGAAAGCCACACACTCCGATTATCATACACCGTGCTGTGCTAGGATCAATTGAGAGAATGATGGCCATCCTCATCGAGCATACGGGTGGCAAGTGGCCATTGTGGCTTAGTCCTCGCCAAATTGCTGTGTTGCCCATCGCAGAGGCACACCATAATTATGCTAATGAGGTTGCGAGCAAACTGCAGAATGTATCCCATCGTGGTTTGTTTGTGGATGTCCGAGACGGCAGCAAGACATTGAACAAGCGAGTGCGTGAGGCACAAGTGTTGGGGTATAACTATATTCTCGTTGTAGGCGACAAGGAACAAAGCTCTAACAAGGTCAATATTCGCACCCGTGACAATAAGGTGCATGGTGCAAAGCCCCTAACGGACTTTATTGAAGACATTAAAGCTGCTATTGATCGTTTGGAGTAATTGACAGCTTGATAATTCCCTGCAATTAAATTTAGACACGCTGGAAACAAAGTCTGTTTATTGCATTAGCAATCGCTGATTGGTGTGGAAGCTAAATCAATGGACAGCTCGCCTACAACTAGTTGATCAAGCGCTCGATTGCCGTCCCAGCCGCCAAAGAGAAAGACGTGACGACCTACGATGTTCGACGTGTGGCCATAACGATTTGCTACCGCGACACCGTGCGCAGACACGCAATGCCACTCCATAGCCTGCAAATCCAACACGCGTGCATGCGAAGATGCACAGCGAAGGTCTTGTTCGTGTTGCATCTTGCGTTTGCGTCTATTTCGTTTTTCAGTGCGCTCATTAGCATCATTTTCGTTACTAAGAATTCGCTCTTTCCGCGCTGTTTCTCGAACAAGGTCACGGACTTGTTTGTCTCCAATAAATAGTGGTGTGCTATCCGTGCCGGACCATCCACCAAGTATCAATGCAATTTTAGCTTCACTGGTAGCTCCAGCAAGGTTCATTGATTGACCGAAAGAGCCAGGGGGATATTCGCCAACTAATCTAGGACGGCTCCAACACAAGTCTGCAACGTTTAAAATGTAAACATCTTTGTTGTATACTGGCAACGCGTTTGAAACCACTGTGTACCCTCCGTATAAGAGTAGAGAGGTAAGACCATCATCTACACCTGTCCATTGATTTAGATCTATCATTGACAGGTTGTGCCGAGGGGTGGGTGGCTGACCAGAGCATTTTGGTCGACGCCAAGTAAAAGATTTTGAATTGAAAGACCACATATCGTTCATACTCTTTTTGCCATCCCAACCGCCAAAAATGAACATCTTTTCTTTATCTACCGAGGCTACTGCATGCCCGTAGCGTCCAGCAGGGGAATCTGTGGTCCATTGCACCTGCATCCAGGCTAAGGCTTTTAGATCAAAGAAATATATATCCCGAAAAGCTTCACCTTCAACTCCACGGCCACCGAATATAAACATACGTTTATCCTCATTGAGAAGTATAGCAGAGTGACCATATCGTGGAGCTGGTAACTCAATAGACATATTTTTTTCACTATCTTCAATTGGCTGACGTGAACGAGACAGCTCCTTTGGCAAAAGCATCTCTTCCCAAGACGATGTCTTTAGATTCAAACGGTGCAAATCATTCAGATACACGAACCCTCCAGCACTGCCGTAATGATGCCCACCAAAAATTAAAAGATGCGCTTCTGTTATTACCGACGAGTGGCCACCCCGAGCGCTTGGTGGTTTGCCCGATAGCGTGGGCACAGACCATTGTAGACTCACACGACTTGCTTGGCTTGTCGAAGCACTGCTTTTTCGATTCGAGAACAAACCAACTTTTTCCTTGCATCCCTTCATTCCCAATCCAGAACTGTTGCCAGTTTCAGACGACCTCCCACAAAGGGACGTTGAAGGTATGTGCTTTTGTATCGTCGTTTTACATTTTAAGGCAATGACAACTAATACCATCCGCATGAAACATCCTGAAGAACATAGAGATGGCAGCGTGGAGTAGCCAGCACCGTCAAAATGTTTAGGGTGCGATAAAGTTTTCGTGGCTCAGGTACCTTACCATAAAAGTCACAGCATTTTTTATCGACAAAATATTCCTAGCCGCACGTGTCACTTCAGCCTGCTGCTCACGTGATCAGCAAAACAACTCGTTCACTTCCACCATGCGACCAAGTTCAACACTGACTTATCAGCACGATAAAGCAACCAAACTGCAAATTTGAGCAGTTTGCTCCTTTTCTTTAGCAGCAGTGGTTGTCACGAACTTCCACCGCAATTTGGTAGCCACTTTGTTTTTATATTCCTAAATGCAATTTCGTAATGTGCAGCCATGTTTGCTAGCCAATTGTCGTCACACAACGAATCATACAAATTGACAGCTTATTCAATTAAACATTGGTAGCTTGACTGAACCCAACTAGCGCATTTAATCCGAGATGGGAGGTGCACTCTGCAGCGTGAGTAATGACACCCTGTTATGACTTAATGAGGCAGCACACAACGCTTTTTTTTCTGATGTAGCAGTCAATAATGCAGCGTGACCATCGAAATGTATATTGATATTGTTTAGCCAACAGCCTGACCAGGCCTCACCGCTTGACATAGCACCCACGTACTCAGAATTTGATTTGGCAGAATAAATGTATTTTCGCTGACACGACACGTCGCCTTAATAAGAGACGTCACAATGAAGTAGCAAACCCAAGTCTCCATATTGCCAGGCAACTTATTGTCATTCTGTCACCGAGATGGCTACGACGTCTTCAAGGCACGCTATATTCTACTATTCCTCGCGATACATGGAAACAATAAGGGCGCGTCGATCTCAAACATTAGATCAGGAAGAATATTAGACTCAAGCGTGTCAACATACAAACAATATTCGTCATGTAGACATGTCGTGCACAAAAGAGCGTCTATGAGATCGCAAGTGGGCACCACCTGAGCCTAGAGCATTTCCAGCTGAGTACGTCAATATCACAATCTCGTTTTAAGTAAGGTCCGAATACGCCCACGGCCACAGCCACTCGATACAGGGAAACTTGATGAAAAAAAATATATTTGATTATTGTTGCTACCGGTATTTCAATTTCAGGGTACTAGAAAAACCTAAGATGGTATGCGAAAATCACCTGCAATCTCATCATGTCGATATCACTAGACCAGTCGGCAGACGCCGAATTCGTTCGGTTTATTGCACGCGTTTGCGGCGTAAATCTAGGTTCAGCTGGCTCTGGACGACTGCGTGTGCGCTTAAGTAAGACTATAGAGATTTATGAGCCCTCCACTATCTCCAAGTATCTCGCGCGTTTCGCTGATCGCGAGGATGAGCTTCTCGGTCAAACTCCGTTTGAGCGAGCTCAAGTGGCCATGTGGATTGCATTTGCACGAGGGATTCAACGCTGTTCGCCATCAAATGCGTCGACATTTTGGCAAATTCTGGAGGCTTTTTTGATTAAGAAAACATACCTGGCGGCCGACCGCTTGACGCTTGCGGATGCTTCGGTTTTTTATGCACTCCACGCGGCTGTAAGCAGTTACTCACCGACTCAGCGTGATCAGTTTGCCAATCTCGTGCGCTGGTTTGACCAGGTGCAGCACACGGCGGGCGTGCAGGGATTTCGCAACTTTGACGTCATAGATCTACCACCAAACCGCATCGCCTTCACGTCATGAATAAGTTCGTGTTGGAACAGGCTTTAACAGAATGCAACGTTGACATAATTCTATGTTTATGAAGATAATATGGAGCAAATCTACTTGTTCTTTCGCTTTTTGTTACCAGACTGGCGTAGCTGCTTCTCACTAATTTTCTTAGCCAGTGATTTCTTTGCCTCCTCGCCCTTGCTCCAATACTGACCATCTCGTTGTCGAAAACTCGACTTTGGTGCGCTTCCAGATGCGTCTAAGCTGATAATTACCATGCGGTCACCAATCTTCATGCCACTGCGTCGGGCGGCAGCCAGCGCTTCGTTCTCGCTTGAAAATTCGACGTATCCAAAGCCCTTAAGCTTCTTAGTGTGGTTCCAAATTGGCAAACGGACACTGGTGATAGTGCCACAAGATGCTAGTGCTTCACGAATGGTGCCTTCCTCAACCTCGTACGGAAGCTGCTTGATGTAGACGGTGCGACATCCCTTGATGACCTTTTTTGTGGCATTTTGGCTCTTTTCCGTTAAAGCCTGCTCCACAGCTCGCGGAGTTTCGGCTCGCCGAATGGATAAATAGCGCTTGAATAGGTACTTGCCGTCCAACTTCAGCGCCATCTCCAGCGAGGCCTCTTCGTCGAATACCACGTGGGCATAGCCACGAGGCTTGCCCGAGTCCTGATAGCGTGGCATACGCACCTCACGCACCGTACCACAGGACGAGAAGTATGTCACCAAGTCGCTTTCATTAGCTTCATATGGAATGCCTTCAACGTAGACCGTGGCCTCTGTCTTGCGTTTGATTTCCTCCTCTAGCCCCTCATTTTGCTCCTCTGTATTCTCCACCTTCTCATTCTGATGTTTTGAGCTCAAGTCATCTCGTTTTAGAAATATAGATCTCGCATCAAGTTTCTCTTCCTGATCAGTCTCTTCAGGCTCCGTCAGTGGAGCTGGACGAAACATTGCGGTTTCCACGTCATCATCCTCATCATCAGAGTCATCACTACTGCTGCTTTTAGCAGAATCAGTAGACAATGCTGATTCTTTAGAGTCTGAGGCCTTCTTCATGCCATTGTCACGGCTACGCTTCTTCGACGAAGACAGCGCCATTGAGTTATAATTTTTTCATCATGATTGGTTAGGCTGCATTTTCTATTTTAACAAATCAGAGAGTAGAGAGCTTCATTTCGCCACAATGAGCTCGGATGAAGACGAAGTGAAGCTCTACAGCGCATTGGAGCGCAACAAGAAGCGCCATATGATGGGTGTGATGCCTTTATTGTGAAGTCAATTACTCATCTTTTATCGTTTGACAACGTTCAAAGCCGAAGTGACGCTTTTGACGTGTGGTCTGCTATTCTTTGTGTAGTATCACTCTCGTCCTCGTCCGATGACGAAAACGACGGTGAAAATCACGAGGAATATTCGATACAAGAGACGCAAATGAAGAGGCGAAAAAATAGCTTTTTGCCGACAGAAAGTGAAAATAATCTTGCTGCAGGTGATGTTAAATGGCAAAGGGTGTTGTATGCAGTCTAAATCGAGCAGCACCGCATGTTACAATAGGGAGAAAAACGCTGGACGACAGCGATGACGACGAGAATGACTTGTACACACCAATGGAACGTGAGGCAGAACGTTTGAGAAAAGAGAGGCTCGAAAAAGAGATTCGTCAAAAACTGGAAAAGGACAAACTGCTTAATCAAACACGGTCCATCTTGAAAAAAGTTTCGACTACAAAGAGACAGGCCGTAAACAATACGGAAGTCATTTCGCTGGACTCTGATTCCAGTGATGAGCATAGCGAGTCCGTGGCACACCCATCGCAGCCAATTATGGACAAAGGACCGCGGATTACTCTGCATGTTCGTTCGAATGGTGGATCTATCGATGACATTTGTATTTACAAGGTGAGCAAGTCGGCCAAAAGCTTTTGACCGTTGAAAGGAAGTCAAGAGCTGAATGTGTTCACGTATAATATAGGAAGAGACCTTCGACCAGCTTTGCACAAGGTTCTGCGATTTGCATGGATTACCGCGATCAGCTGTTAAGATGTCGCTTGATGGCGAGGTTTTACAGCTTTCCAAAACCCCTGCTAGCGAAGACTTGGATACAGGCGACATTATTGAAGCTAAAGTCGACTTTACGCAGCAGAATGAAGCCAAAAAGAAGAAGTATCTGCGTTTACGACTAATAAAATCTGGCAAGCGATCCGAAGTATTTAAAATTGACTCGGTATGTTTATAAGTTGGCATCATGGTGTGTGATGCGTGAAGGTTCTTTATGTGCTGATCTAGACTTCAACGGTCGCCAAACTTCATGGAAGTTACTGCCAGCGGCATGACATTGTTAATCCAGACAATGTAATTTTAAGTATACATGACCAAGAGCTTCGCTTGAACGAAACTTTGAAGTATTACGGTTTGATTGACAATGATGAAATCTTGGTAAGCTTCAAGAATCTTGCGGCTTCAATGCCACAGCCTCAGCCCATTCAATTACAGCTTCGATTTGCAAATGGCGATCTCGAGACCCATTATATCAATCTGGTACGTTGGTCTTCTTTGCCTGCTGTATAAATATGGGGCTTCATGAAAACCGCATATTTACAGACATCCAAGATCCAAAATTTGCTCGCGAAGATCGCAAACAAGCATAAGTGCAGAGTATCCAGTTTATTGCTCCTTATTGATGGTGAGAAAATGTCAGCATCGCAAACATTTAAGGTCTGTAGCATTCAGAACTTAATTAAATATTGTTGTACACTCATGCACAGCATCATACTCTTCAGGATTACGGTATAGAAGGTGGGGAGATAATCGAGGTCAAGATGGTATCATAAAAATGTCTTATAAACTTTCTTCGCTGAAATCTGCTCTTTATACTCAGAACATGTCGGTCAATTATTTACTAATGCCATCATACTTGGCTCCTATTCTTGGCTTTCGACATCAGCATTACAAGCAAAAGTGTTAAAATATGCGCACTCAGCAGCCCTCCGTACCAAAACGGAGCCCACGGTGTATCTAAGTCAAGAAATGGATAAGGCCAAAATCCTCTTGCCACCGTTCCATGCACAATCCACGCAAAGACGGCGTATACCGACGGCCAGCCCATTATCAGTGGTAAAGCATCTCTGGACACATAATGTCTCGTGGCAAAAAAGTCAATCTGCAATAAAAGCACATTGATTCCATGTTGGCAATAGCTCACTCCATTCAGAATCATTTCGGGGTGTCCAATCTTAACAGCGTACGGATATAACACGACCCAAACCACGACACAGATGAGAAGCGACACAGATAAACAAATGTCCAGCAACAGTTCGAGATCAATCCAATGAAAGCCACTAGCTCTCATAATCCTTTTTCGTCGAGTAAAGGGGCTTCCTGTTCCATCCTCGCTTTCATCCACTAAAGCCGTGTAAATCGCTGTTCTCTCACCTATTTGACGCTGTAGCTGCCGCTTGGTACGCCACGTGGCCCCGGTAAAGTATACGCCCTGCAGTATGAAATTCCACGATGTGTAAAAGGCCAAACAGTGGCCTCTGGAACGATACAGATCCCAAAGCTGAACCAGCATGTAGAAAATCGCACATCCCGCACGAAAAGACATTAAAGCTCGCAGCGACCAGCAACTGCGTGGTTGCAACAATGCTGCAGGCTCGCTAGAGAGTGGAAGAGAATCTAAGCGTCCAGATCGGCGCATTGCCAGCCAGAATGACATGCAAAGCGTCGCCACCAGCTCTGCCGCCACCACCAACGTCTCCCATTCCTCGCGGCTTACTGTCATCGTATTGTGAAAGAATCGGTAGTAGCTGGACCTGAGCTTCAACTTGTACCATTCCAGCAAATGTACTCAAATTAATGCAGTAATAAATGCAAAAAATGTGCTTATTCAAAACCCTAATTTGCTGACTATGTATAATTTGTGTGATTTCAGAGGTAATATTAATCATTATCGAACTATTTACATAAATTCAAGGTCTTTTGTGATAATAGCTACAATTTAAATTAAAAGTTTTTTAAATCATAAGTTGGCTGTCAATATTTCTATTAGATTTATAGCTACTTTCCTCATGATTGCGCGTCTGCGACTATTGAAATAGATATCACATTATCTACACTTTTATCAATCGTTTCAATCTCTGCCTGTCGCCTCTTCATCTTCATTTTCATCTTGTACCCCCTTCCTTTCCTCTGCTCGCTTGGCTCCACGTGCGCGGTAAAGATCTGGTTGGGACAAGATCGCAGGTTTAATTGTATTGTTACCAGTGTCTGCTGTCGTACTGTGTGCACCAAAAATGGTAAACAGTGGTGGGCGTCCTAACGATGTCTCACCGCTCTTCGTCTCTGTCTCAGAAACATCAATTGTCAGCGGGGGATCAGTCGGAGAAGTTACTGAATGCTCATTCGATGCCTCCGATAGCTGAGAACTACGGTGGTCAGAGTGTCGCTGGTCAATCGAATCTTGCGATTGGCTTGATCCTGACAGGCTGGAAGGAAGTTTTGTGATGCTTTCCGACATTTTCATCTCTTCTTGTAACCGCTCATTGACTTGAAGGTACATTTGTCGTATCATCCGACCTGTCTCTTCCTGTGATATACAGAGTTGACGGCCTACATGAGCCTTTCGTTCAAGCTCCACTAGCTGCTTCCTCGAAGGCGGAGTCCTACGTACACATATAACAAGCAGATTTGATGTAAGTGTCAGGTGCATGAAGTATCCTATTTCACAATAATGACTTGCAATTGCGGTCGATCTTGATGCTGCAAATGGAAAGCCTGATCCTCTTGCTCGGTCTTAAGTTGATGCTTAAGCTCTTGGATCTAGTAACGACGTGACCGGGTTTAGCATAGTATTCACAAATTCAGACATACTTTGACATCAAGGCATAATTACATTTGCCTCTAACTCGAATATTGTTCGTATTTGATGGGGCATCTTTGGATCATTAACGACATAATCGAGAGCTTTCTTCAAAGTGCTGCATTCTTGCTGTAACAAATCTTCCTTCTTCTTGGCTTGTTCTTTAATTCTCGCCAAATCTACTGCAGCTTGACCCTTTAACCTTTCGACCTCTTCCTCATGGAGCTCTTTAAGAGCTGCAATATCTTCCTCGCGAGCTTTCTTAAGTGCCTCGTTCTCTTTCCGCAACGCTTCCAGCTCATTTTGTGCATTACGTAATTGCTTAATCAATGTGACGGCATTTTCAGTAATGACGTCTTTAAGCTCGTCATTTTGCTTTTGAAGCTTTGCAAGTTTACTCTCGGATGCCGGTTCTTCAGAGCGTCGCCGTCTCTTACCAGCTGATTTTTTTGTCGGAGAGTGCGTTTCTTTAGTCGTTAAACGTGATTGTTGCGTGGCTGAAGTGACAATGTGCCCATTATCCGGTTCCTTAACCGGCTCGTCTTGATTCGATTGTTGGTAGATACTTACTTGCCGTTGCTTCTTTGCTGGTCTAGGACGCAAAGGCGTTGGTACCACCTTAGTAGGACTCTGCGTACACTGTAGCTCCTCATGAAAGCGCTTACGCGTGCGGCTAGCTACTGACATTTCGTCAGCACTCATTCGTGCATGAAGTGCCTCATTCTCTTTTGTCAGTCCATCGGGTCTGTGTTTATAAATGTTAGTAAGTGATTGCGATAGTTTTTCATCAGCAGTACGTACAGAAGTTCAAATTTATACGCGAGCTCTGACACATCTGACCGCAATATTACGCATATCAAACCCTTACTTTTCTGACAAATAAACAATTCACCACATACCTTTAGATTCAGGAGGTGTAAAGTGAATCACGTAACCATTCCTCAACGTCGCCTTTTTGTAATGCCCCACTTTTCGAAGGTTTACCCATACACCGTAGCGGCTGCATAGCACATTCAATTGTAAAACGAATCAATCTACTGATCCTCTCATCATGCGATCACCTTAGATCCTCAATTTCAACGAGAGCTTCTCCCATATCATTTTTTCCTAGCAGACGGATGATGCAGTGCTGCAATCAACACGAGGCTTAGATGGCTTTGAGTGAGTACATGGGCGAGTCGACTCACGATGCCACTGATGAATTGTTTGGGGATATGAATGTCACTGCGATTGGCGACGCGTCCAACGCAATGTTTCGAGCGAGACAAATCATAATTTTCAGGCAGAGGTTCCTTCTGTGATTTGGTCAGCAGCACAAGCCGTCCCCAGGGAAGCAGCTTTGGCACCAGCGAGGCCATTTTTATAAAAATGGATACCAAAATTTTGATTAGGGAAAGTAGAGAATTTTCTTTATTTAAGCATGAATGATTGGCAAGAAGTTTAAATCGGTTTATCTGAGCGCATCAACTCTACTTCTCATTATCTCAACGTCTGCGCGTGTATTTGTACCTCGTAATGAGGACTACCAAACCAAAGTCTCTATGAGGCACACTATGCTTATCTAGAAGAAAATTTTGCTAGACAGATGTTTGAGCGATGAAAGGGGCCGCAATTCCACCGCTCAATAAAAACGCTCAGCGAGAATTGAGTGCATTTACGAATCAAAATCAAATGGCTTCAACACACACTGTTCGCTATCGAATTTTTAACGCGTCGTGCCTTGATTTTGACATGGATCAAGGATTTTGCAGTGACCGTCAATGACCTTTACCGAGCAGCAGTCTGGCGTCAAAGACGCTCTCTTTGTATGATCAGAAGGAGTTGCTGTAGCTACTATGCCGACTTTCTACGTCAGAACGGCTAATGACCAGTGGCAAAATTCACAAGCTGACAATAGCTCAAAGCATTCAATATTCTGGCTTAAGCTTTGATAGGCCTAACAAAGGACATGAGCATGATTTGGCGCACCTTGAAGGACTAATTGATACTATATATAGTATCAATTTCCGTGATATACAACGACTCCCTTTCACTGCAGTAATTGGATGCTTCGGGAGTGGCTGGTCATGCCCCGTGATTTTTCTGACGCACCCTCGAAATTTGATCTCCAGGTCGAACAGCTGTTCAGGCAACATCGTGCCAACGCACATACCTGTTTTGACGACAGATATGTCAAATGCCTTGTAAATCTTGGCAATCAAACGTGTTAGAGATTAGCGAACAGCATAAGTTGTTTGTAAAGATAGGTAAATGTGTGAAAATGTGTTTTTGGAACCAACAAAATCTATTTTGTTAAACACTCTTTTGAAAGCAAGAGTCCTGTGAATATCACGACCATTGTACATTGGCTAGTGGCAGCACCACCACAGAATCTGAGGGGATGGCTTGGCTAAGGTTATACTTTCACAACTATTGTGCATTTAACGCTTACTTGGCAAGGCTCTATACCAATTTTCTTGGAAAAGATGCCCAATGGTGTCAAAATGTAGCTGAAGGAGCGGTATCGAATTTGTGAAAAAAGCCTCGTGTGTGCCCAAATTCTGGCCCTCTGATTTCATTAATTAGTTATTTGAGATCTTTGGCCTCTGCCACATTCTAAGTAGTAGTGAATAAGACATAAACGTGGCATGTCACCTGAAACAGCATTTTGTTCATGACGAGGAGCTCCTTGTCATTAAGTTCCTTTTGCCAAGTTCAAGGTACACATGGTTTGATTGAGTTCTGATGTGACCAAAATAGATCATGAGCTATTAAACCCGGCGACACCGTCAACCGCACCGATTGCAGGGGGTCAATATAAGTCGGGTCGGCTTAAGTGGTGGCGAATGCGCATTTGCGACCTACCGCCTGTGAGTCGTCGCTTGTCACTACGGTAGAGCCGCGCAATGCTAAATCAATACGTACAGCATACTAGTCAGATGCTACATGTGCGTGTGTGGCACTGTTAAGATTACTAAAAAGCAAGATATTCTGACGCTGGAATATCCCGTGTCCAAAGTGTTTGTTTCAGCAATTTTTATCACAAGGCTTGCTGTATAACATGAAACCACCCGATACATAACATGCGGTGCTATCCCTTACGAGGGCCCAAGTGCAAAATAGTATAGGGGGCAGACGATATCTCATTGGGAAATGTATTGGTAGAGAAAATATGCAATGAAGTGGCGGCTCGTAATTGCTATGTGTGCACAAGTGAAACGTGTCAACAAGAAATCCCCTCCCCGTATACATCACCTTCATTAACTAGCCTACCGGTTCCGGCAGCAATGTATAAATAGTAGCTATGTACTGGATCTTTTCACATAATACTGGCATTGTGGTCTTAGTGGGCGTCTGATCAAGATGTATCACCTCGCTGAGCTGAGCTGTTCTTCGACAAAATTTCATACCAGCAAGGCTAATCAGTGGCCATTGTCTCGCATCAAGCTTCAAATTTAATAGCAAAAAAAATGTGCTTCATACTAGGTTATTGTTTTAATCCGCAGACCATCTCTGGATACATGGTTCTACAAGATGCGTTGAATGCGTGGAGGGTAGATTTCGAAAACACTGTCCAGAGCGAACCGGATGCTGGAACGGAACCAACCTCCGCATCAGAGTGGCGCTATATCGCGTAATAACGCCTCTACAAGATCTTATTCTTCCTTGACAAAAAATAGGTCTAGTTATCGCGTCCTCCGTGCCACCGCCACGAAGTGATTTGGTTTCAGTGGAGATAGATTGATGATACGGTGTGTTTCTCTGATGTTATCCTTAAATCAACCCTAGATCTCGAGACTATTAGATGGCTTGCGCTGAGTACGCGACGCGATGGCTGGACATCAGAATTATGGTACTGAAGTAACTTGCATATGCTGCAAGCAGACAGAATGCGCACGGGTAAAGGCTTTATCGAGTGTCTGCAAGTTTAGTGTTTGAAGTCTATAAGAAAAAGCTACTCCTTACAATTTATGTCTCATGACGGTAGCCAATATGATATTAAGTTACATTCATAACAGAGCAGCAAACACATCACGTGTTCTTACACTCGCTTTCATGGGCTACTCAAATGTCAAATTCTTTTTTGAAGACGACCATTGTCTCAGCCATCCTCAGTTGCTCAGCTTCCTTCTCTAGTGCGGCGACCCGAATCTAAATCGCTAAAGAGACCTAAGCAATCGGTCATATTGCTTAGCTTCTAGGCGTTACCGAAAAACTGACTTACGGATGTTTCGACTACGCCCCGAGACTGTCCGTTATATATTCGATATGCCGTCAAAACTGAAAAGATCCTCGAGAGCCAACCATGGAAAGTTGTCATCCGCCGGCTTTGTGGTGGTTATATGTCGACCAAAGTTACGAATTAAAATCCAAAATCTGTTTTTGATTGGATTATGATGACGACTCGCGATAACCAGCCGGCTAGTTACCTGCAGCTGCGGCTGGAGGGCTTATTCGTCAGATCGATTCATGAAACGCTAGAGCACATTTCATCAAATAGTCGCTGGAAGCGGATGAGAAAAACTAATTCAGTTTACGCCACGAATGCTTAAAATGGCAATTCCTCGTGTCCACTTTCTATGCTTGCTAGCGGTTAAGAGTCAATCGTTATAGTCTCCTTCGCAATTATTTTTGCCACTGAGCAGCTTTCAGGTTGTACATCAATCATATATATACTTAGTGGCATGATCGCAATATTTTTCTCGTGAGAATACTTCATGGAACGTCAAACATATCTCCGTAAAAGCGGAATGCAAGTGAGATCGATAGCCGTTATCGAAATTCTTTTTGGAGCGCCTCATAATGTCAAATTTTGGGCTAGACCGAGTCCGTATTCTAAAAATCAATATTACTTTTCAGCAGCGCATTATTCAAAATCAATATTACTTTTCAGCAGCGCATTATTAATATCAGCATAAGGCAACGTTTGTCGAGCCTCGACTAACAAGACCATATCATTGGGTCTGCTATCCTCGTATACAAACGACAACACCTATCGGGGATGTCAGGCTTCATACGTCAGTCGAAGCAAGCGCATACATAAAAAGGTTAGGGGTGGCTTCGCAAGACCTCACAACCCATTGTGAGTCTAAAAAACCACGTACCGCGTTTGATCAGACCGCGATTCCCGGGCCAGGTACTTTGTCTTCAATCTTAAAGAAGCTGAACTGCTCTTTGTCATAACAGGTACTAAAACCCATGGCTCTACAGCCTCACCACCTTGTAGAGATGCCATTAACATCTTCATATCGTTGGCCTCAGCAGGAAGTCCTGGTAGCTGGACAGTTCTGTGTCCTTACAGAGGCAAAATCCCACGGCTCTTCAGCCTTATCACTTTGTAGAGAAGCAAAAAACTTTCGTCATCCGTCAATCTGGGCAATTTTCATCAGAGAAGTCTAGGTACCTCTTAACGCGATCAATGGAAAACGCTGAATGGGTCGCCATTGACTTTGGTAAGGCGAAACCAAAGGCGAAGTCAAGTCTGAGATGGTGTAAGGAAGCAGGGGCTTATTTGGTACTCCCGACCAAACTATTCTTACTCAAAGATTATTCTCAATAAGAATATCGTGATGGTGTGACACCCATCGTCACTCCTCGACAAGTCAAAAAGGGCTTCGCAAGCATTGCGAAACCTGCACAGTTCTCTCTCAGGTAAGTGACAAATTTCAATCGCTCATGCAGGATCTTTTGGACGGGGAGATATCACGCCAACTATTTAAGCAACTGCTCGAATTGGGTCTCTTGCCTCCTATTAGAAGCTCTAATTTGCGCGACCGGTCCTAAGTAGCAACATAGTACGAGATTCTCTATCCCATTCTAAAAGCTGGAATTCAAGTGCGATATCAATCCGTTGGGATTTCTTGAGGGGTACCAAGAAGCAAGCTCAAAGAGCTTTATGTTCGTCAAGCTCAGATTAAGTAGTGGCCGGGGGCCCAACCACGTTGACGCGCAAGGATTGAATGATCGCATCCTTCGCTTCTGTAGCAGGATCCGCCGAGTGGAAGCCGTAAAGGGCCAGCCGTGGATGCGCGTGCATGGAAGCCACCCCACGGACAGCATCCAGCTGCTTCCTCCATGCTTCGTCGAGGCCATTTATAGTGACACTACCTCCCCGGAAGTCGAGAGTTCGGGAATCGAACGCGGCATCTGAAAGGTTCAAGCACGGCCCACGACGAACCGCTAGGGCACCTTGTCCTCCTCTTCTTCCCATCCTGGGAAAGGAGTATCCGACTCAAAGTCGACTTTCTTCAAATCCTCGACGATTTTTATCCATTGCCCGTGGCGGGCGCGATGCGGTCGGGAGTAGACATCGGTCTATGTTTCCTGTCGCTGAAAACGCGCCGCGCGGTACCCGGTTTCTGAAAGCTTGGGCTGCGCTTCTCTTGAAGCCACGGACGTGCTGTCCGAAGTTGCACCGCGTGCATGAGACGAAGAAGGGCTTTACCCGCGGGCGTTATCGGAACCAGCGAAGCCGGGTATCCTTCGTGACATCGACACAGGGCTCATTGAGCAGAATTTTTGTGAAGAAGGTCCTGGTGATGTTGTGGTGCCTAAGACACGCGAGCCTCGTTCGAGGCGACAGTTGAATTTGAGCTGTAGGTGTTCACAATCTTTTTGGGGAACATGAGTGTGGGTCACACAAGTTCGTCTAATCACACGATGGTGCGGTTTACACAGGATGGTGTGACCACACAATGGTGTGGCTACACCTAAACAAGAAGTCAGTATGAGGCTGCATTGCTAGTAGTTATACATTTAATTAGGTTTTACTAGTTAAAATGAAAAACCTATAGATTGATATATAAGCAGCTTTACCGCAAAAATAAAACCGAAAAACACAGTTTACGTTTTAAACGAATGTTTCAATCAGCCTCTTGTTAAGTTTGTTATTGCTTTTGGAGTAATTGGATTGCGATTCGCTACACTCGTACTGGTTCTGAGTATAGAATGAAGGTCACCGACCTTAACCAAGCTTTCTTTTAGCGAAAGGGCAACGGCAGTCCCGCTGCAGTTTGTACACGGACGGGCAATTCCCATGACAGCGTCTTCCGACTTGCACATAAGAAAGCACGGTTACGGGCAGAACTTGTAGATGACCGGCAGTTAGGTGTGGCGCAATTATGCACAGCATATTGTTAAGCTTAGGGAGCATACAGACTCCCAATGAGCTACCTTTCACTTTTATATGAGATTAAGTGGACCCGAAGACTTAATATTTTAATTTATTAATTTTCTCCAACTGAAAAAACAACAAAACACCCGACGTAAGCAAGAAAGTAAGTACTATCTCATTTTGAAACTCTGGAAGATGATGCTAGTAAAGGTGATTTGTACTAGTGATACATCCTTGTCGCAGCCCTCAATTCTGTTGATGCATGCGATTATTTTGAATCCTGATCACTTAGAGAGTCCTCCAATCATGATGTTTTGGAAGTCATCGGTTGTGCTTTGCAGACCTCCGCACCAGCAAAACTCAACTGTTTGGTGACATCGACATTGTGTATACTGCCTTCGAGCGTTGCTTCATAAAACGACATTGCTCGCAGGCTGCAGCAATATCGATAGTTGTGTCGTAATTATGTAGCTCTAATGAAATTCTTGCTTTGCAGCTCTTCAAAAGCGGAGAGATGGATGGAGATCCATATGCTTTTCGAGAATTAGACAGCTGCAGTTACTGGCGCTAGATCGTCAGCATTGAGGCTATGTCGGGAGCACCTTTAGTCTTATAACATTAAACTTAATAAGTTGACGCTGTAAATGAGATAGCGCGACATCATAACAAAATGGATACTAAAACTTATTCGTGATAAATAAGTTGGTAAAAACTAAGCAATACACCCTTTGGCTCCACAGTCCGCTTAGTAATTAGTCGATTACAACATACGTATAGTTGTTACCCTACGCCAATAATAGTAGTCATCTTGCTGGTAGCACATAATTGACAACAACCGCATGCTAGGTAATGATAGCCGCCTATCTGGTGACAAGACGTGGCGAAAACATGAAAGGTGCTGGTTGACCTCCGCAACTGTCCTCTCGCCGTTAACTTTGAGACTATCTCATTAAAGGAAGCTTAGTAGTGTCGAAGTTACACATATCCTCTCTGCTGACTTCACCTTTACGTGGGCCAGCGACGCGCCCAACTGCTCACCTTTACAGCGACAAATTTATCACTTACCTCTGCGGAATTTATCAAGCACTTGCTGCTAGCCACATGACGCGCTATAAATAATTCTGAGTCGTCGTTGGCATCTGCCACATCTGCAGTAGCTGTTGTGCTGTGCGAATTCGCCATGATGTACGTGAGTACCGAGTTTTCTCCACAAAGGGATCTGATGTTTCGCCAAACACATTTTTGACGCCTAGCAAATTTTCAATTACAGTCGTGGTTGATGTAGAACTTTACTGGATTAAGGTTAGGTGCCCACTTCAGTCTAGCCAGACATCATTCATACTAATACCTCATTCTATTTCATTTCGTATCAGTTTGGGAAAGCGTATGATCCACATGTCCAGGAATTTGCCTGTTGGACTGTTCTCTTGTAAATGCAGTGGGGATTCTTAGTTCAAGTAATACATAAAACGAGTACTTTCCAGATGACGTATGCATGATCCGTAGTAATTGCATCTGGAACGGTCGTCACGAAAAGTTGGTGTCATGCACAGTTTTGCAAATTATAAAGCGCACAGCCCGTCTTTGAGCAACAGAGCCGACCAGACAGCCACAGTTCTCAAAGGCAATATACGTAGCTCTTTCACAGCATGGCCAACAAACAAAATGTCATCGCTTGCACCAGGAGTGAAGTTGTCGAAGTTTCAGTCTGATTCCGATAAATGTAATGCAAGCCCAGATTTGTGCCTAAGATTTCAAACGACTCTATTAGCATATGCTAGACTATATCAAAATAAATATCTTTTGCCCAAAATATTTTTAAGTCTAGTCAGACTTTACTTAAAAGCTTTTATGGCGACTTGAACATTCTTGCTGGGACAGTTCTTGATGTTTTGGTGCCTGTGGGAATCTATGACTGAAGCTTAATGCCGTCCTGCACGCAAGAAAACTGATCCGCGACGGCACCTAATTAAAGTCAGCAAGCTTCACTCCATGATCTGCCAGATCATAAAAATATCATGGCTTTTCTACCAGTGGCTTCACTCATATTTTATGTAAGTTACATCATGCTAGAAGGGTACACTTTTTATTTAAATGCATTTCTTTACCAGCTTCCTGGCCAGTTCTCTCTTTACATATGAGTCCTCGATTATGTATGCCTAAACCTGTCACCTCTTTTCCTGCTTAGGCTAAACTTTGTCGTGCAAAATTTAAGCAGTTGTAAGATGAATTTAAGCAGAGTCATAAGGTATAATCTTTGATATACTACACGCTTGCAAAATGTTTCGCTCTTTACCAACCATTATACCTAGCACCTTTACAGTTACTGCTGCAAAATATATCCCTCTAGCAACGTATGTAATTTAAGTATTTTCGACACCGAAAAAGACATTCACACATACCTTAGCTGTAAAAGCGTCTCACCTTCCACATAAAACGACAAGCTGAAGCGCTTGCTTCGATTAATATCAATTAAAGTATAGTATCATGCCTATCTGCGCCATCTTCTCTTGCCGGGCCACAAGCCTCCAAAGCATCTTGGCACTGACTGTCGATCCATTTCTTCTTGACATTGACGCTGCTCTGAGCCAATAAGTTCATATGTATTCGCCCTAGCCTTCGTCGAACGTCGCAAAAAAACCAGATGGGCGCGAAAAGCCAGCACCGATTGGCCGCCCAACTCACATTCTACTTCCTGCTCATTCATCCCATCCGCTTGTCTGCCACCATGAAGCTCCGGCGTGGTAGCTCTTTGCGGTGGCGGCAAGCTGCGATCCTTGTACTTGCAACCTGCGGTCTGACTTCTGCCAGCATGGCACCCTCGCTCTACGGTACGCTCAATAGATGTGCATTTAGCATTTATATATAAATTTATGCTTTTATTTTGCAGACTATAAGTACGATGGTACTACCACGTATTGCTACTGGATGGATCAAGGTATGCAAGTGTCTAACCTCGACTTCGCATACGTGCTGGAGAAGGGTACAGGTATCGAATGTCCACTCACAATTACGCTACAGCAAGCCACAACCGGTCCTATTCTTGTTGGGAATGAGGTCGAGTACGCTTTTACGGCCACCCTCAACCTGATTGAAAATGCGTTTAACCTCACAGAGCTGCAGACAGCAGTACCTGATCCTACAACGGGGTTACCTATGCAAATTGGCCACTCAAACATCCATTCCTGCTCCCGTTCGACCGTGTGTGATATTTTTCGGACCGGTGCTAATCGCAAGATTGTCGACCAGGAGACGTCCAACTTTACTAGTGCTGGCACAGCCGATTTCCGCCAGAAAATTACGTACAATAGTGTGGGTGAACGCAATGTGTTTGCGCACATTATTTTGCCTCCAAAGGACTTTTTACAGGAAAGTTATCACTTCATTACGTTCGTTACAACTAATGTTGAAGCTAGTAGTAGCAGCTTGGCCGATAGTGACAGTTCAGGACTCTCGACTGGTGCTACAGTGGCTATGATTGTAGGTGGAGTAGCAATCGTTGTTGCTGTCATTTTATCGGTGGCTTTCTGGCGCCGCAAACGCCAACCTGGACAGGAAACAAATAATTATCAAAACAGTGGCTTTGGCTTGCCGGCATCATATGTTGCCAACAAATCCAAATCGCATCTAGACTGGAATGCAGAGCCAGAGTCGCGGTTGACGGCGCAAGGTTCAGGGTTGAAGGATAATTACAGCTCAGTAGACCAGGCTCATGGCTCTCGTGGCCCTGGTCTCAATGCCAGTGCTCTCATGTTTAACGAACGTCCCAGCCGTCAGAATAAAACAGTTTCATCGTCCGGTTCGCTTCACTCAAGTCGTGGACAAGGTGATGCTTACAACAACTACGACACGCCCATGCAGCGCTCAGGAAACAACTTTAACTCATCGAACGTTTTTGGTGCCTCAAACAACTTTGCCGCATCTGGTCATTCAAACAGGGGGGACCCATATCATCAATCGAAACCTAGATTCCCGGATGACTCTATGTATGACGATGGGGAGTCGATTTTGGCCGAGGAAGACCCCAATCTTGAATACGGACGCACTCCTGACCTCGAGACTTTTGGAATTGGATCGGATAATCAAGGGGGGCCATCTTTTGGGAGTGAAACGTCCATGGGAACGTCATACGACTACGGCACGGAAGACGCGCACTATGCTCAGGCTCCTTTTAATCCGCTTCTCAGTGGCTATGGTCGCGAGTCTGAAACGTCAAGCATGGGATCAGCTGACAATTACACTATGTTTGAGCAGCCTCCTTCTCGCCGGCGAGAAGATACGCTGGACGCAATACTCTCGGGCGACCAGGGTGCTGAAAATGAAAATGATCGTCCTAGCTCCGTGTCTTCGATTGGTACGGTTGACTTTACTCAAGACGAGCCTTCTGTTCGATCTCAGAAACCCATTACATTCGAGCCGCTGGATGAGACGTTAACAATGTCTGCGATTGCCAAAGGACAAACTGCAAACGCAATTTCAAACAACCATCTTGCTGATTCTAATTCAAGTGACAACTCGGAGTTTGTTCTTCATGACAGCTCGGTCACATTTGCCGCGTCAAATGTTAGCTCCGACTACGCTAGTACGATGAGCTCGATCGATATCGACAATAATAACAGGGTCAGTAATAAAATGAGCAGCGTGAGCGACATTGTTAGCGAAGTTGCACCATCGGAGCACGAGGCGAGCACTAGCAACAAGCGCTCGAGCTATACCAATATCAATGCTAATAGCAAGAGCGACTATCCAAAGCTTAATTATGATGAAGGCAGTAGTTTTGGCAGCGGATTAGAAGGCTCAAGTTTGGGATCAGGCTTTGAAAGCTCGAGTTTCGACGGCACAGAGGGTGTCATTCGCTCGAGCTATGGTGCAAACCTGACAAGTGACAATCTCAATGCTCGCGTCACTGACCAAAAGCTAGATGCCACCAACAGTAAAAACGATTTCAGCAATACTCACTCGACTTATGACTTTGATGACAAGTCTTTTCGTGGTTCAAATTCGTTCGCTCTATCACCATCTGATACTGACGTTATGACTGACGATGATCTTCGGTCAAAAAGCGTATCTTCTGCTGATGGTGAGAGTTACGAATTTTAAAGTAGCTGGCTAAAATCAGTAGCCCCCATTAGTTTAATGCATTCGTCTATGCGGTGAAAAAATGAATTGGTATGTCAATTGCTTTCAGTCGCCTTCGATATGGCATGAGGCGCAGTGGTACGTTAGAGGAGCTTATCACTTTCGTATTTATTGCACATAAACTTGGTGGTTGATTTAGTGGCAGGATAATTCCAAAGTGGAATATAAACAATGCCGTAGATATTTTGATCTGAAGTGTACCCAACGTGTTATAATACTCTGCGCCAAAAGCAAGTGGCATTTCCTTAAAATAAAGACTGAAAAACGCCTGCTGGACCGTTCATGAGATTGCGCAAGACGTCTAGCATAAGTCGATTCGATGACAGATAACGATTCGAGATGAGGCTACATTTGCCGTTTCGGAGCTTCCTAAACTCGCGGAGCGGGGTCTTTAGTCGTCGAAGATATTGGTTGATTTCAATAACCGCCGAATAGATGGTGATGCTTTGAAATGTATGCCTACTTTGAATGCATAGCGACGCAAAGCCGAAGATAGTTGCGGTCGATTCAACTACAGCAGTAGCGCCATTTGCAGAGATTCTCATGCGTGATACAACCATTTCAAGACCTTCGCGAGCATCGATGGATGCTGCTATCTTTGACTTAAGCACTGTCTCCATGGAATTTGACCGAGATGTGGCCATTTGCGAACTCAATGCAGAGGATGATGATGTCATGATCGAATACAAAGAAGAACGTCTGCTAAAGGTTAAGATCATCTTGCAGATCTTGTGTCGGGCGAGGATGAATGAACATTAAATTTCATTGATTAGTATTTTTAAACAACTACAGCATCTTGACAACCTACCGTACAGCGCAAGAAACTCGAAAGAGTTGGACGGCAATGTTTACTTAATCTTCAACCAGGGATTAGTCTAAATTCTGGGCAGAATTTAAAAGCAATTTCTTTGGAAATACATACAAAGCCAGAAATGGATATCATTTCACTGTTCTTTTTTGAAGAAGATTTGTTGTCTGGCGAGGAAGAATTCCGACTCGCTGAGAATTACCGCGAATTTGCTCTGACAATGCATGTTAAAATTGCGCTCTACTATACACTTAGACGGATATATTGACAGCATTTCTGGTAAGATCCGAATTTTGCAGATTCGAGTGAAAAGATTTAAGAATCAATGATTGGATCTAAGAGATAGAAGTATGGTTGATGAACTGGGGCCGTTGTATCTTTTTGAAATTGCAATGGGCAATGGACAATGGAGACCAACACTTATCGCTTCGTACAAAGTGCTCATGGCATATCTTGATTTATTTTCAAACTTAGGACCTCCAATACCATTTCTATACTAATAATTATTTGATATTTTTGTAAAATATTATTAGGGAGACTTAGTTTGACATGGCGTACTCTACACTCATCGGTTATGTCTGCCGAATTGATGGCATAGTGAAAGCTTGTTGTTTGCAAACAATTTTGTGTCTGCGAAACAAGAGGGTTGAGTGCACTTGTTATTGCATGACCCAGCTGTAACTTTAATACCAGCTTAATGACATTCTATCAGAATGAAAATTTGCGAGCTTAATAGATCGACCATCTCGAGAAAATAAATTGTGCAATATGAAATCCCATTGTGAAAACTAATGGAGTCATGTAATTTGCGGACAAAAAAATCAAAATTTATATTAAAGAAATTTCTGCCATTTTCCTCGTAGATGAGTCTATCATCATCGACGCTATGTCGATTATGCAGCCTATTCGCCGGTATGCTTCTCATGCTTGGTGTGGGTTCAACCTATGCACTGTCAGCGTGGAATGCTCAGCTAAAATCATCTTTGCATTTTACGCAGGCTGGTATTTCTACAGTTTCTGCTATGACCATGTTGGGCACATACATGTCCTACATTCCAGGCGCCGTGTTTGACCGACTTGGACCGTATACGTCCGTACTTCTAAGTGGCAGTACTATGCTCATCATCAATCTCGCCTTGTTTGCGATGCTGAAGTTTTCACCGGAGAGCGCAAGCCCACTAAATATTGGCTGCGCAATGATGCTGTTTGGACTACTTAGTTCCTTTTGTGTCTTTTCTTCAATTGTTTCAAATGAGTCTCTTTTCGGTGATAGCAATCGTGGCAAAGTCATGGCAGCTCTCATGTCAGCCTATAGCTGTGGTGGCGCATTTTTCGCCTTCATATTTCATGAAGTATTTCATAGCAGCGACGTACCGGGTTACTTTCTTTTTGTGGGAAATTATCTGCTAGTTGCGTGCGTCTTTGGATGGTGCGTTTTTGCCCGTCAGCGTTGTGAAGTAATAGAGAACAAATATCCAGTAAGTATTTCGAAGGCCCAAAATGGTGTCAGTATTAATTCGATCGGACAAGAGAATCATTCAGATGTTACAGGATTTGCGTTGTTGATGGACTCGCGATTTTGGATGCTCTTTATACCGGTAATGGTTATCGTTGGTGCCGGGTTACTGGTTATGTCCAATGTTTCGTTTATTGTGGAGTCACTGGGTGGCCCGTTGCAGCAAATTCCATCAATGGTGGCTCTGTTCTCCATAATGAATACGCTTGGCCGCCTTTTGACGGGAGTGATTTCTGATCTATTTGTAGCAAAATACCCGCGCGCTTATTTTGCCGGACTCTCGGCATTGCTCACGGCCATTACACAAGGAGGTTTTTTAGTTGTACCAGCAAGCTGGCTAGTTCTACCGGTTGCCATGGCTGGATTCTCAGAAGGTGTGATGTTCGGCACATTTCCTGTAATTATTCGCGAAGAGTTCGGTCTTCAACACTTCGGCAAAAACTTTGGTCTCTTAAGCCTTGCTAATTGCATTGGGTACCCGCTCGTTTTTAGCCCACTGGCATCGTACGTGTACCAGCACTCAGAGGGAGTTCGTACCATCGATGGTGTGGAGAAATGCTATGGTACGCAGTGTTATGCACCTGTATTTGCTGTAGCCATCGCGCTGTCGGTATTGGCGCTTGGTTGTTGCGCTCAGCTTGCCCGCTTACAACGGCGTCAAATTTTATATAGATACCAGCAGATTTGAGGAAATGAAGTTGAGGTCGAATTTAATCTCTCAAACGTAAAGGTTCTATGCGGATTGCGTCCAACATCAACATCAAAAGCACTAGCACTTTGTACATGTGCGATAATACAATATTGCCTGTGGCGACTAAAATATGCGCTGTTGACAAACTACTTGCGACTGGGTTACATTGTACGGAAGCTCTTTGTGTAGCGCCTGTTCAACGTACACATTACACTGTTGCACTATCGACTATGCGCGACAGCCGCTACATTGTTTAATGACAATAAAACCTTTGGTTGAGGACTCACGCACGAACAATACAACAAACGGGTCAGAAGGCAACTTCTGTATTATCGAACTGATTTTAATGACACTCAGCTTGAAGTGGTGCCTTATGATGAGAATATAATTCCTGAAGTCGGGGCTTCAGCAATATAATAAGTCACATGGCAACATACAGGGCACATGGAGTCTTGAGTCTTTTTCAGCGTCGAATTTTTTAGTTTCATGGCTTAATTGCACGATTTTTTGTGTACTCAAAGCTGTGTATCAGGTAAGACACTAAAAATTGCATCTATAGCTGCGTTTTGAGCGTTTAGATAACATAGGGTGTATACCACAGCGATAATTGCAAAGAATAGTTTTAAACTTCGTGTACCTTCATGAAATTCTGTTTGCTGCTACATCTTTCGTATGTTCTTACGCCTAGAAGTACCATCGAGAAGTACCGTCGTCTTTCGCTATACCTGAAGCAGTCTTTAGCTTGTTTACGATTTCAATGAAAGCTGGGAAGAGTGGATCGTTCCAGTCGAGAGGAGACTTGTTGACGCGATGCTCAGCATTATGTTGTTGCCATAGAGTTGCCGAGCACCGAAAGCTTTAATTCAAACCTACGCTCAGAAAATGGGTGCCGATTCGAGTTTATATCGGCGAAATTTATTATGGTGGACGTACACATTACACTATTCGGAGTGCCTAGGTTACGATTAGCCAGAAGGGTGAAAAGTCACACAAGCTGCGAGCCTAACACTATGCATTATACAGGATGTCTAACTGTTGACAGATATCCGTGGTGCCAATGAAGCTAGGTTAATATTTAAACGGACGAAGGGTGCGCGAAGTTCTTGTTCCATAAAGGCTCTCGGATCAGCACCTGGGCGGCATCTGGCACCAACCTCTGGGTGTTAGCTAATGTGGGATTATAGATTAATGTCTTCTTTTTGACGTGCTTTGATGAAGAGAGATGGAACAAGATGCCGAGTATCGTGGAGAATCCTTTGGATCAGGTAGCACTCCTCGTCATTCCGACGACTGGCTTTAGATTGTTGAAGATGGAACATGATATGAATATAAGATGCCCTCGACACAACAGATCACAGCTTGCAAGCTTCTGTTTCCACTTTTCCAAAGAAGATGCTGTCCAGGGCCAAAAAGCGAATATCACTCAGGCGAAAAACTTCTACGAAAATGCGCTGGCAAGAAACATTCATGGTCGTCTCAGCTAGACATCTGTGGGAGCACAAGCAATTTTCACGGTAAGCCGCTTTACGTAGTTTCAGGACCTTTACGTGAAGAAGCAAATGATAACTCTTTTTCTGGACTAACATGGCTGAGATGCTAGGGATCTGGCCATGCTTAAACTGGATCAATAGCCGTTTACAAGCTAGATTTCGCCGCGCAATGTGCAATTCAATGAGAGAAAGGTAAAGGCGAAGCATTGAAACAACATGAAGTGTATAAACGACAGATGCCGCGAGCGTCCCCCCATCGCTTAACCAGGCGAACCATACGCGACCGAAGAAATTCTTGTCCACCGTTCAAAGAAGATTTTTTTGTCTCCGAGTTGGGTACTCAGAATATTGCGTTGGCGGCAGGTCTCTGTAAGGATCACAAACGGTCACTTCATATGTAATGGGGTCACACAAGATGGTGTGGCTACTCTCAAAAACAAAATCGATTATCTAAGCTTCCCCTAAGCGAAAGAGATTCGGCAGCCCCGCTACACTTGGTAGCACTTTTAGTCAATCTACACCTGAGTCGTTACGACTGACCCTCTGTGAGGATGGAGCAGTTCTCCTGTTTGTCCCAGTGCATTTAGGACGGAGGTAAAAACAAATGTATCTGCTTGGCTCTGAGGGCGTACAACACCTCGCTTCACAAGGACCTGAAGCGGTCGGCGCGCGCCTAGAGGCGTTTACGAGCTATGAAAATGCTATGTTGCTTGTTGGCGTCGACTGCGTCCATGATGCCACCGTCGGCGACGGTCGCCCCCCCCGACCAAGTCTGCTCATGGTGAGCGTTACGACCTTCGAGGACTAGAATGGAGCGACTAGGTGAGAGAGCCCGAGATGGCTATGGCATCTGCTATGCTCCAGAACGATCAACAGATTGTGGCGCTAGCATCTCCAAGCTCGGGGGTCAAGCACGATAATGGGCAGTGACGTGCGGCACTTCGGTTGAAGCGGCGTTTCCCTCCTGGACGGAGCAGATACTGCAGCTTTGCGAGTGTTCTCGCCGCCTAACCAGGCATATCGTGTGCGATCGCGTTTTCCTGCCGACCGACAGGTCAATGAGGAATTGGTGGACTTTGTCCAATAGTTGCGTACTCTCATTGCCGGGATGGCAGCCAATCCTCTCCCCTAGAACCGTCTTATAGATGGTCCTCGCACTGCCGTGGCTAGAATAGAAGTCTTCCGTGTACAGCCTTCTTTGTTTGAAAAAGCGGTGAATTGTGGCATTGAATGCAGAATTCAAATTTAAATCGGCACGACCTGGTTGGAATGGTCACCCTCAAGGCCTGTCAAGTGGACCCGAGAATGGATCTCAGCTATGCTGAGAAAGAGGAGAGAGAGCTCCAAGCTGCCGGAGAGCGTTCGAGCACCCGACGTGTTTTGTCTGTGGAGACACCCGTCATCTTCGGACTAGTTGTCCCCTTCGTAAGGCGTGTCAGGGTTCATCGAACCGACGTCTAGCTTCTCGCCAGTTTTCTGTTTTGTCGCGAAAAAAAACAACACTGGGAGACGCGAGGCGGTCTACGGAACGTGTATGCAAGCCGGGTTTGCTGCTCGTAAAATTACCTTGAAGGGCTTTGAAAAGCCATGGAAGATCCTGATTGACTCCGGGGCGTCGGTTAGTTATGCTCGACACCCCACGATTGAAGGAATATGCTGAGGCGCTTAAAGCGTGGTTGGGTGACACCGTCACTGTATGCTTAGCGACGCGGACACGAGTCACGGTGCCGAGGGTCCCTGTGGACCTCGTTGTCAGGTTTCTTGACTTCGACATCGTGAAATGCTGCTTAGTTTTAGACTTGTATAAAGGTATAACCTTATCCTTGGTATGGTATGGTATGGTTCGAACACTTTGACCGATTGGACGTCGAAGACCTTGGGCGCTACGCTCACGTCTCCTGATGAAGCTTTCGCTGCTATAATTGATTATGTAGTAAAAGAATGTAATTATATTACAAATATGCATTTACCTGTGAAAGACGGTAAAGTATTAAAACCAGAATCTTTGGTGAGTCAAAAATCCACCTCTGCTAGGAAGGAGAAGCGCTTTTGGCGCGGGCACTGGACCGGGACGGACAATTTGCTTGATATCGGAATATCCGAGTTTCGAATACCGAAAGTGTATCGGACAGGATTTCCGAAAATGGCTCGCAGGCTAAACATGGAATGACAAGTAACCCACTCAGCACTGCCCAATTTTTAAAGCAGTCGCTGCATGCAAAGAGTGGCATGATCAAACGAGGCGATGCATTTTGGGCAAGGCCCTTCAGATGCGCGTGGAGTGGCACGTAATCCTATGAGCACTGCTCACGTTTCGAAGCGAATGCCCAAATTGGCATGGCCGAACGAATTCCGAGGCATCTCGAGCAAGGCCTTTCAGATGCGCGTGAAGTGGCACATTATCCACCGGAAGAAGACTAAAGAATTAGAAGCCCTTCGTCGGATGTTGTTAATAGCATCAGGGCTCCGATGGAGTAGGGAGTGGGGAAACTGAACGGCACTATGTGCCTATTCCCACTAGTTTCATCGAGACATCAAACCTCCGTGGAGAGACAGCGGCAATGCCGTATGTTATCTGCAAGACGCCGGGCGTCGACCCTGCCCCAGGGTGTGTCTACCGTAGACGATGGTATGAAGACAGCGACGTCATCCTTGAGGCTTTTTCTGCAATAGATGCTCTTCTTGAGCCGGACGAAATGTCCTTCAAAGCGTTGGGCAGTGCCATGAAGGCCTACGACTTAGCTGACGTGGTCAATATACGACCGGACGAGGAGATCAACTCGTCGTCGCTTTTGGATGAAGACACTAAGAGGGTGCTGAGCGCATGAAGTGGATCTTTGATTCTGAAGAATCCCTGGGATCCGTACTATCCTTTGGTAAAGGAATTTCAAGACGTCACTCCAAAGACCCCTTGTCGGTCCTACCCCCGGTCGAGGTGTGCATCTTGAGATCGACCTGGTTCCGGGAACCAAATACTGCGTAACACGCCAATGCTCCTGCCCAAAAAGCAGTGTGACGTCATTGACGCATTCTTCCGTGCGATGCACGACTCAGGAATGGAGCGTAGAGCAAGTCACCGCATCCGACACCCACGTTTTTTGTCTAGAAACCGAACGGCAGGAGGCGTAACGTTCACGCTTATAATAAACTCAATACTGCCACCATTACGGCACAGACTCCAATTTCTAGAAAGGATGTCTCTAGAACAATAGGATTGGCTGTTCAGAGTACAGCGCACTCGACATGGTTGATGGTTATTACCAATTGCTCATGAGAGCGAGTGATTTTCCGCTGACAGCGGCGAATACTCAGATCGGGATGCTCCGGCAGTGGCCAGTGATGCCCCAAGGGCTGTCAAATGTACCAACAACATTTGATCGTCTTGTGACGCAGTTGTTCAGGCTCCACCGGGCGTATGCATCTACATACTTCGACGATATCTTCGTCCACAGTCGTGCAGAGCACGGAAGGATAGACGAGCAAAACCAACCGCCCATTTAAGATTGATGCTCGAGTGCGTAAGCACATATAATCTGTATGCTATTGCAGACCGTGATGTTCAGCGCCGAAGAAATCCCCTAATTGGGTGCTTCATCGGAAGCGTGACTTTCAAGCGGATCCCACTAAGATCAAGGCCGCTGTGGACTGGCCGGTTTCAAAGAACGAAAAGGACTTTTGCAAGTGGTTCGGCCTCGCCAACTATTTGTAAAAATACAGCAAGAACTACGCAGAGGTGGGCCGGCCATTGCAGAATCTCCTTAAGAAGAATGCGGAATGGTGTTGGGACGCCGAGCATCGGGAGGCTTTTGACTGGGTCAAAGACAGCCTCCTTCATGCATCAATACTGGTTTTGCAAGACCCCGTTCTTTTAGTGTCGTCTGTGACGTTTTGCAAGCAGACGCCGAGGGGCGAGATCGGGTGATCGCGTTCGAATCTCGCCAGCTTAAGGCTGAGGAGAGGAACCACCCAGTCCACGACAAAGAATAACTTGCGATGAAGTATGCACTAAATTTAGGGTTCACCTGCTGGGATCAAAGCGTTTTGAAATCTACATAAATCATGCGTCAATATGCACTGCGACTCAGTCGCCTCAACTATCGCAGAGGACGGCTAGGTAGCCCTCCTTCTTTGCAGAATATAAATTTAAGGTGAAGCAAAAACCAGGAATGCATAACGCTCTGGCTGATGCGTTGTCACGCAGAACGGATTATGAGTTTGCTCATGTCACGGCGGTGGCGTCGTCAGTAACGAATTTGATCCGTCCCACGTACGCAGTTGATGATATAAGCGTAGCGTTCACGAGAGCACGGAGTTTGGGAACTCGGACAAGAAGTTGTCGTCGCAACTGCGTGCACGCTGCGCCGATATTCATTAAATAAGGAATTGCTATGTTATAGCACCGACTCGAAGGTTACGCCATGAATTTTTGATCCTCACAATGACGATGTGAAGTACCATATCCTCTATGAGGCCCACGACACCCCACGCAGTGGTCATTCCGGTCATGAAAAGACCTACAGCTCTGTGAGTTGCGACTTCTAGTGGTCCAAGCTGTATAAATGGACGAGCACCTATGTACGCACGAGTGACACATGTCAAAGGGTAAAATACACTCCGAATGCGACGGCGCCACTGGCCAGTTTACCAATACCCTTCAGGAGTTGGCAAATCATAATTTGGACTTTGTGTTTGGCCTGCCGATGGATAAGGCGGGCGACACGGGTATCGTTGTCTTCGTCAACCGTTTACGCAAGATGGTTCATCTTGCGGCGATCCCGGACACCATCGACGATGTCAGTACAGCGACGCTGTAAGTGGATGGTAACATGGATTTCCAGAGTCAACTGTCTCTACAGAGACCCACGCTTCATTTAGAAGTTTTGACCGACGATCTTCAAGGTGCTGGACAACAAGCTGAATATGTCAATAGCGGACTATCCGTAGACCGATTGTCAAACTGATCTTGTGAATCGTGGCATTGAGGACGTCCTTCGCAGTATCTGCGCTGAGACTCCGAGGCGCTGGAGCGCTATGCTGCTACTCGTAGAGTTCGTGCTAAACAATGCAGTGCATTCGTCTCGTCGTTCTACGTAAAAAGTCTTATTAATCCTCGCCTCCCGCTAACGCCTCCATCCATAATATAGGGCTTGGTGGGGGAGGAATAGCCGAGCGGCTAGCTGAAGTTAGCCCTCTCAATGCGTGTGAAGAAGTCGATGACTTCCTGTCTACCAGACTGAGCGTCTTACTACATGTTCGCGATGCGATGTCTGAAAGCCAAGATATGTAGAAGGAATATCAGGTAGAGGAAATGTTAAAAACTCTGAGGTCGGAGACCTGGTTTTCTTAAATACTAAAAACCTTTCTTTACACGCAATTTCTGCTGTCTTAAGAAAAAAATCGTCCACGGTTTATCAGACCTTTCGAGGCCGTGGCTAAGCGAGGCCTTGCGTATACGCTACACCTTCCAATAATGATGCGCACCCACATGTGGGCTTTCTCAAGCCGAATCGGGATCTGGCTCAAGTGTACGCGAACTCTTCTCTTCTCTTCTAGTGTATGCGCTGCAATACATTGTCTGCCAGTGTGGATAACTATGTTTAGCTACAACGAGATTGTAACTTTGAATAGCTATGATGAAAAGCATAATCTGCAGGCCGTCCCGCAAAATTTAAATTTATGATCTTTATAGCTTGACCAGCATACTGTCCCAAAGAAAAATTAAGGAAGGGATTTAGCGTCGCCAACTACTTGCGCAAGTATAATGCAAATTCTACGAACGTGATCGACTCTTCGCTTGTTCTTTTACGAATGATGATTTGTGACACTAGGAATAGTATGAAAAGACGATTTACTACGCAATGAAAAAGGTCTCAATCTTCCCTGATTTGGGTCCTCTACTAAAAATGGCCGAATCGGCCACTCTATGTCGTTTTTGACACTACAACCTTTGCCATAGACACTGCTTCACCCGAAGAAATCATAATTTCGTAATCGCGTTTCAGTCTTATCAATTTAAATCGGCTTTAGACATCTACCCTGTTCAACACAAGTAGATGATTGCTATAACGTATTACGTTGCAAAGCAAATGCATTCAGAGTGTATCTGCTTGGTGCGAAGCCGGTTCCAACCTGCGCATAGCAATGTCATCACCACATTCCTCACAAAGATTAGCACGATGGTTGTCTTTTGTATCAAGGCGTGGACCGGGTCAACTCATTGCGATGAAAGATGACTTCACTTCAATAAGCTGTTGCATGTAACAATGCGACATTACCAATAGATGAGACCAAAAGGGTAGCGTTCGGGTCAGACACAACATATGTTGTGTTGCTAAAGCTTCGATAATCAATAGGTTTTGAAATTTAAGTACACCTTCATTAAAGCTATCAATTTCACGCCCGCACATCTTCTCTGCATCCAATGCTATTGGTATCACTGAACCGACTATCCGTGGGGTGGTACCTTCGATCAAATTTATAAGTACGGATCAATTCACGATTAACATGACCTTGACCACCCCAAATCCATATCGTGCAATGAGCGAGGTCCAACATGTATAAGTTGTATACACGGTGTGCTTATGTGAAACGTTTCAATAGGTGAGATTCATGTCCTGTGGGTCAGTACTTCTGGCCAATTCCAGCGTTTGACGAGGTATTGGCAAATACGACCATTTTATTATGAAGAACGCACCCGGTCTCGCCGGCATAGTGCCCTTTTGAAACGTCTGAGCAAATTGACTCATCTCGATGCTGTCAGCAATACGGTAGTCTGCGAGGATGCATCTCAGTTATTCGTCGACAACACTTTTTGCTACGATTGCATGCCTGTGGTCATTGCTTCGGATTGTGATCGAAGCTAAATAGCAAAGCTGTGTAGGACTTTACAGATTTGACATGTCCACCGCTATCTTATTTCAATTGTGGTCAGACATATGTTTCCACATTGAGTTTGCGCGCAATATTTATGTGCCTCTACAGGCGTTACAACTTTGATGCCAATGATTTAGTCAGATCCCACGTCTCTTGATGCACTCCAGTCTTAGGTACGAAAAGGCTGAGGATACGATTTGACTTGTTGAGATGAGTCCGGCGATTTTTTTGTAGTAAGTTGAACGACCGTATGACAAGAAATGTTGTTTTCATGGACCAAGTGTGCGATACTTGGCTGACAGATAAATGTATAAAAAACAACATACCGGTGCCAAAGGCTCGTGAATGCGTAGCGCCCGAAATCTTATATTGATCGCTGTTAGCCTACTATCACATGATGTGTCTGTAGCCTTTGAAATTAAGTTGCGCCCTTGCTATATAGGTGGTTGTACTTTCGTACAAGAAAGGGATTGGGTTATAATATATTTTTTTGCTTATGTAAGCACATCATGTGTCTTATGTGGGCACATTGAAGACGTACCGTGATTTTGGTAATACGACTTACTTCAACACAACCCCCCATACATTGAGTTAACATCCGAACCGCCTCCTGAATCTTAGTTACTGTCTACTTAACAGCAGCTGTGTGCCTCGAGTCAAACAGTAAGATCTCGTAGCTCCGAGAGTAACTTAAAAAACTGAAACCAGACATATTATGCTCACGCTTGGACTGTGTGAGAGAGTTGAAGTGCTGTCATCATTGACATAAGTCACGAAAGCCAGAAACGGAACGGCCATTCGCTGTCGATATTCTTCGATAATCGTTTAATGGATTTTTTCATGAAAAGCGGTTAGTGACCCGGCGAGTATACCAGAGGTACACTAAATATCTGGATCGAGGAGATGAGATATTTTTACTTTGCAAGCGCAAACGAAATTAAGGTCCTATTTTGTCAAGATTGTCCTGATTCCGTTGCAGATTTTGATTTGGCGCACCCCTTGCTTTATCGTATCAAGAGAAGTAGTAGGAATCTTGCATCACAGCGAAATTAGCATAAATGAGTGGATTCAGTCTTGTTTTGAGCTCGAGAATTGATTAGAAGCTGTAGCAGTTGAAATGAAAAATTGAATATGACTAGTTACAAAACGATCATCTTTACATGATGAGTACACATTACGATGTCTATGTTATAGTTTGTGTTTTGCGGTGTCAGCAATCATATGACATTTTGGCTTGACGCCTGCTTGATTGAAGCAGACTGGAAAGCTGTACACGAGTGAGTCACGTGCCTGCTTTTTTGTACACAATTTGAATAAAGTGAACTTGCGCATTCCCGTCAAAGTGTGCGGTTTTTATCGCGCCTGAGTACATATCGATATCTTAGGAGATTGTTTTTTGCGGAATTAGAACGCCTTGAAGCAAAATTTGAACACATATTTTGCTCAAGATTGAGCAGAAGACACTGTCCAAGAAGGGCGCTGCAGCGCGACAAGCATGTTTGGGTCGATCAGCTCTATCATCACGTCGGTTTTGGCCGAATCGACTGAATCAAAAGCTGCTGCGACTATTGTACTTGCTAAAATACAAGCTCGGGTGCTCTTCTTGCATTACTCTTCCGCGAGTCAAGTTTTGATATGAGGAAACGACTAGGAATGTCGTCCCAACTGTTCTACAGTGACTGCTGATAGCCTGTTTCGTGTTGTAGGTGGACACAAATCTTCTTCGACATCATTCGAGGCTTTTAATCCGTAATATTGGACTAAGTGACGTGAGCGTTCGCTCAAGTACAAACAAATCTAAATGAATTTGATGATTCCTCACTCGCAAGCAAAGATGACCCTGAGTGAGTGAACGAACAGGCATTAATTTTGTAAAACTATATCTATTTGATAAAAAGTTAGGTTTCTACTCGTTAGCCAGTTACTCTATTATAGCTCAGCATTTAACATCCTTAGTAAATTGGATGCTTGACCAACATTTTCGTCTCACTTTCTCGTACAGCCTGGTAGCACTTTGTGAAATATTATTACAGTAAACCGGATGCCTTCGATGGTAAGTCACTGTTGACTGCAGAGAGAATACGGCCGCGCAAATGCGACGAATATTAATCAAAAATACGTATTCTGTGATTCCAATATCTCACGGCTAAAAGTAAGCCCAATAAATTAACTATTTACGATTCTGTTCCTCGAATCAAACATATTATTTGATCTCAAAGACCAACATATCAAAATTGGGGCATGGTCGGCCCCTTGGTTCATGGATACATAAATTTACAACCTCGTTCATTCGACATATAACAATCGGACTTTGCGGTGAAATGCATACCGCACCATTGTACTCCGCGACAAACGCTACTCCAAATTTTCAACTTCGAGAACCCTGGGTTAGACTACTTGTGCATACGAAAGTTAGCCAAATTGGCTAAAGCAGAGAAGAGAAGTGAAGAGAAAGAATCCGATCTTTGTTTTTTAATTTCTCATCACATCCACTGGAAATTTTTCTTCACGTTTACAAACGTTAATACAAGTTAGCAGCTCTCTTTAATCGGTTTTCTTACAAAATTGCGAATCAGGTTGTCTTGTGAAGCTGCGATTGATATCTGCTGAATCTAGATATTCCTGGTAATTAGATGCAGAATTATCAATGTTGTTTTGAAACTATAATTTTTTGCGGCAACATGATTCAAGTTTTTGTAATCAAGATATATTGCATTTTACGTTCAGAATTTAGTCAAATATTTTTTTATTTGCGCAAACGATGATTCCGTGTTATAGTCTTGCACAAAGAAGATTGATTTTGCCTAGGATGTGTTTTTCAAACATATTCTATTGCAAATAGCCGTGCCAATGCTCAGGTCATCGTGCGGGCGTGTTGTACGCAGGCGCTAATCCGAGCAGGAGCAAGAGTTGCAACGTGTAGACACACGTAGAAACCTTTTGATGAAATAAATTACAAATGATGAAAGCATCTTATCTACAAGGTACCGCGCGTTAGCTACTATTATCGCACTAGCGAGTGCCAGCGAAACGCCCTACACCAGTAAATACTATTTTGAGGGGGCTGTTAATGCCTGAGATCCTTGTTGGTCGTTGCAATATGAGACGTAAGAAAAACGTTAATGAGTGATTCTTGATGTCTGATTAAGCAGATTAAACCAGCCTAACTTGGGGTTAGCACTGCTTTTATCATGACTTCGCTGTGCTCGTTCATTTTGAGAGCGACATACACTAACGACGTGTCATATTCGACTCATACAAATATATGCGGTTTACTTTATCCATGAATAATACAATATGTATATAGTGATGCGGAGCCGATCTCACGTGCATCTTGGAACTTTTCTTGAGCCTTATTAGCTCCAATACTATGGGGAACAGAAATTTGAGGTGCACGTATAATATGTACATATTACACCCTCTACAGTAGGATATAGCACATGTTAAAGTTCTCATCTCTTCTGTCTATTTACGAAATTGCGCTTAAGTGAATGCCCACAGCGCTAGGATATACTAACGGATTTTCCCGATTAGAGTCCGGTCTTCCATTTATTAGTACCGGACTCAAGCCCAAAAATCCGAATTTTTTTCAGAAAGACAGAATATATTAATGACAATGTGAAAATAGCGATTTTGGTTTTCGAAGTACGTCACAAACTCAAAATGAATACAAAAAAAAACATTCTTAACAATTCTAGAGAAGTTACCTCCGACACGGGCTCGCTACCGCGTGTTTGGGTCCATGATGGATCGAGGCGTTGTGCGTGGGGATTTATTCCCCGGTCATCTGAAATCATTATAGCGGGGTAGTGGATATTGTAATTTTGAGGGCTCTATTCGGGACAGGACTCTAATCGGGAAAATCCGTTATAGTACTTTATTTATAGTGCTCTTTTTAGATGTGTATTTGCGTCGGAAATTTACCCTCCTACACAACATGACGTGCATGAGTAATCCTTTGATAAGTCGGGGTTGTCTTTACCGACCACTGTGAATCCATACTCGATGGGGATACCGGTGTTTTCTTAATAAACATGGTCGTAGAGCCCCCTCCCGAGTCCTCATCGGGGGACATACGCCCAACTTTTTATTGAAAAAGGAGGAATTTGCTGCTTTCCTTTCTGTCATCTGCATATGTCACGCAACTTTGGGCCGTGCCTTATGACGTTAATTGATGCGACACCCCGCTGCGAAACTAGTGGCGACGTTAAGCTCGACGCTAACAGGATAAGCCTGACTTGAAATTTGCAGTTTGTCTAATATAGCTGCAACGATTCCTGGCGACATCATCATACCATGGTAATGAATTCAGGTAGACCAGTGCTTCACGATGCGCTAGAACCGCTCTTGTGCACAAATTCATACGGGTCTTCGCGAAGTATGAAGCTTGCGCGTGAAGTCTGGGATGGAAATTTACCACCTCACCACCGCAGGAAATTGTTGCTATAACCGCTCCGCTCTTTTACATGAGATAGCTGCTGATCAAGTCTAGATCAAGGTCAGTCCTCACTCGGAAGTAGTCGCGAGCGACCTTGTCTCCTTCCCAAGGAAGCCATGTCGTAAGGGGCAACGCTAGAAAAATCTAGTCAGATACTACTTCACTACCGACGTCCATCAGCCTGTTTTAAGACCTAAATTTTAACCTGGGTCTTACCTTCCGCTTTATTAAATACTTACTGCCTTGATGTACCCAACGGCCCAAAAACCTTGTTTCACGTGATGAGTGGTAACCTTGCGTTTAGAAACAATAACGTCCCATCTTTGACTGGCTCTTATACGCTCTTTCGTGTCTACTCGCACATTAACCAGTCCAAGAGTTCCGGATTGCTTCCAAACTGAGATAAATACTTTCTGATGCATTCTTAGACCGACGCCATCGCGCTGCGTAGCTTGTGATATCTTTAACGCCTCTAAGATGAATATATGCTCTAAAGAAAAGGGTACTTTAGCTACAGGGGATGGCGAGGGTCCTGCTACATCTTTAAATATTTCTGACTATATTGCAATAGTAGGATGTGTTACGAATTCACCAAGGCCTCATAATCAGAAGACAAGTTTGTATTTGCTTCGGCATCAAGGAAATAGCTCAATCTCTGCATTCCTCTGATCGCAAGCTGCCTGATGTAGCGTAATCGCAGTGTAGACTTTTATGTTTTTAGAAATCTGTATGGAAAATGAGTTGATCGCGCTTGATGAAATCTGTTTCCCGTTGTATGAATGAAGGCATTTCGCCTGTCTCGGGCATGATTGAGTTGGCTCTGAACATCGTGGATGTCGGACATAATTTCGTGTACCCAGCGCGTGACAAGCGAATTATCAAAATAAAATCTACATTTTTGCAACGGAGTATATCCGATCTCATATTAGAATTCGCATCGAATCGATAAAATTCTCCTTGCAAGGCTGAAGTCATTCCGCGGTGTTGTTAGATACAACGAGAATTCTGCAAACCTGCTTGAGAAAGTAATAAAACTTATGGCGGTACACACTGCGTCACAAAATGCAAACTTAAAAAATGGAGCGACTTGTTTCATCAGTCAATTCGCACAAGTCTTTATAGAATAATCTTCTCTATGCAATAAACGCGTTTCCGACTATCAGCCGGTAGATCATCAGTGGGAGACATGATTAATCTGAAACACAGCACCTTGAACAACGTAAATCTAATCTAGCTGGTGGGCGTAATCTTGAATTTAATCAACAAACACGGCAAATGTTGTTGTCAAAAACTTCAACTAGCAGCAACTTGGCTGTATCCTCATCTGCTGCGAGAAGAGTTGCCTTACTCGGACGGTATCAATGCCAATATCTCTGAACGTGTGTTAAAAATACCGGACATATAGTTCACATGTACAGGCTCTCAATACTTCGCTGGAAACGGAAGGCTAGCCACAGACATCGATACATGCAGCAAGGGTTCGCAATTGGCCATTTAACGGGTGATTATAAACCCCATGCAGCATTCTGTGCTTATGTTTCATGAAAGAGGGTGCTGTTCACAAACAGTCCCTCAAACACAACACAAACGATTGTGCGACGAGGAAACGATTTCTGGCGTAGAGGGGGAAGGACAGTCCCGCTTTGGAGGAAAGAAAAACAACAACTTAAGTCCTTTAAAGTGTATCGCAACTGAATTAAAATAGTTATGGTTCATAGCTACATGAATAACCCCTCAAGAACTTCTACAAGTTTTACTAACAAAACTTTGGGTTCCTGATTCAGAAGTCAAGGGTGGATTGAACCACCCTTATTAAACCTCAGATGTCAGCTGATACCATATCTTGGGTGTACGGAGCTTGAACCTCGAATGCTTGAATTTCAACTTTCGTGGAAGTATTCAGTAGAAGTGCCAATCACTTCTAGAGACAGAGACACGTCGGTCTCGTCACCAGTACAGATCCCCAAGAAGGAACCAGCATTCTGTATCACACAGAATGTTTGTGACTATAAGAAAACCCGTATGCATTTGGGAACACCAAACTGTTATATTCTTATATTAATAGATACCCACAATGGATACAGCAGGTACATAAATGCACCTTGAGTGTAATGGCTAAGCTTAGCCCATTACACACCACACCATGATGAGGTGGTTTGAATGGGTACAGAAGAGAAGAGAAGAGAAGCTGCAAACCTTTAATAAAGTGATCGTGGTACCAACTTTGAATGGCTGATTTGGCTATTCTAACTTGAGTACCCAAGTCAGGGAAGATTGCGGCTTTTTCATCGCGTAGTATATCGTCTTTTCACCCGCTGCTTAGCGTCATAAATTGTTATTCGTAAAATAACAATCGAAGAGTTGATCATGCTGGCAGAAATCGCATTGTACTTGTGCAAGTAGTTGGCGACGCTAGATCACTTCCTTACAATTTTGGGACCAAGTGCTGGCCTATCTATAAAGGCCACAAATCTAAATTTTGTGGGAACTGCCTGCAGGCTATGCTTCTCATCATAGCTTTTCAAAATTACAATCTCGTTGTAGTCAAACATAGATGTTCACACTGGCAGAGAAAGTATTGCAGCGCAAACACTCGAGCACTGCTTGCAAGCGTGAATATGGATCTCTACACCTGACTCCCCGTTATCTGCACGACTGTGTATAATTTTAACGCTATAAGAATAACTCTTAGAACTACAAGGTTGTCTGCTCAGCTGAGTGACCAGATGACTGAACGGCGCTGGTGAGCAGGCAGCATCTGTCGTAAAACCAACCAATCTCAGAATATTCCGCTCGGACAGCAACCACAGTGTTAGCGACGTCACTGTCCCTCATGAGTAGTTGATAATCACCATCAACCTCGTCAAGAGCATGGTACAAATGCAGCCGACACGACTGTTTTGCACATATCCTTTATATCAATTGCCGTTTGCATTGGAATACTGGCTGCATTTAGCCTATTACAAGCATTCACTATCTCTGACATAGAAAGTCGGCGCCAAGTGAGAAGAGAATACTCTTTCTTGACAACCCCGCTCTGTGTTTTGCACAAAAGAGAGCGTGTATGACGTAGACCTCTTTCTTGATAAAAGCCACGGACGAGGACGCCATATTTGGCTCCAAGAGCCGGGTCAGTTTCAAGACGCTGTGTATGACATCTACCGTCTTTCCGATAAGGACCACGGTTCTGAGATGCCATTTTCAATTCCTGTAGCCGGTTCAGTTTCAAGAGACCCCCCTTTCAGGGGACAGCATGTGTCGTAAATCTTTTGTCACCACACTGCGACATCTCTTCAATGAAGGAATCTTCACAAACTGTCCTACTCCTTGCACTCAGTGCTCTAGAAGAGTCGCGTGACGAATGATGTGATAAAGCCCGGTAAGCATCTTTTTCTTCCATCCGTACCATTTTGGTGTTATCACAGTATTGCAATCCAATAGAAAAAGTATGGCAGCCAATTGTCCGCCAAAAGTAAAGTCTCCCGAGCAATTCTCTGGCAATTGCAGTCTAGATGATCAAATAATGTGCGGCCAAGAGTAATTGATGGAAAAAGGGTGGGATGACTCACTGATGATAGAAATGCAAGGAGTGGAATCGGAGTTTCCCATAAACAGAGTCAACCTCCAACAGCTGAGTCCCACGTACCGAAAGCTCTACAATATACAAAAGACACAGTTATTTCGGAGCATTTCACCCTAAGCCTATGGCACTCGAGGCTTCCCGCGAGTGGGTCGTCGATCAACCTCACGGGAAGCCCAATATTTACACCTTTTAGCCAAGAGTGAAGGAAGCAAGCAATGCGTAAATGTTTTATGCCTCGACCCATGCAGCATGTCCAGAAACCACGACGCTGTTCGACAGCTAGGGTCGGTGTGAGCTGATAAGCACCCACGGCACATGTCGCTTCGAATCTTCTCATGTTGGGAATGCCCTTCCGATCACCCGTTCTCGCGCATGATTACCTAGCTAGGAGAATATATACGGATGCGCTGTTATTCGATCTGGAGTATGTCCGAATTGAAGACCATCTCATCTTCTCTGATGCAGATATATTATCTCCGTCCTTGCCCCCAAAGTGTTGGACGCCTACATCACTGACCTCACTTTGAGATCCGGTTGCGCTTTTGGTTGAGACCTTACTGGAGGTGCATTCTCTTAGCTGGTTAACGCATCAGATGCCATATCACCATATCCTACCTTTTGACCGCCAATCGTGCGCCTCGCGACTCTTTTAAGCAATACGCTTCAATTAACGTGTCCAGTTGCCCGTAGGACAGATAGTTGAACAATACAGCCCCATCCTCACAGAGGATAGACAGCTGTTGCTGCCAAGTGCAATAAAGTTGTCGAGCTCCTTGCACAGATGAGTTCTTGACTCGAAGAGTCTGCGTATCTGGTGCACAGAGGTCGGGATCGCAGGCTCTACGTAGCCACGGAGCGAAAAGCTGCTTTAGTAACTAAGTGCTTAGTTTGCTCGGCTCTCTGATGAGCGACTACTTATTTGGGATTTATTTTTACTTGGACTAATACATTCAACTATAATAACAAAAAATCTGATTCGCCCCGCGTCTACTACAGAACTAATATTTTAGTACCTCTGAATACACTCAATCACACAGCAAATGTGAAATTTGCAAAACGTACACAGTACGTACTCAAGGCCTTACAGACATCCATCCATCTATCCGGTCGGTCGGTTAAAATATTGAATATATCTGCATTGTATGTCCTGCTAATGCATGTGCATAAGTTGTTGTGTCGTTTTTTGCTTGGAGTTTGTTTTGCCTATAACCCGTCAGTTTGCCCGAGTGGTCTAAGA